TAAAAGATAATGGTAGTAAACTACGATCCTTCCCAAGATTTGAGGTTAGTTTGCCTAATGCCCAACGTCAGACATATTCTAACCACTGGGTCTCCTTTTAAACAATTTGATTTGATATGGTAGAAAAATGGGAGGAACACGCAGCGTTACTCTCTGCCGTCTCTAAAGACTAGGCAAGCAAAAACAGGGCAGAGCCGGAGAAATAGATACAATGACAAATGTTATCTTTTACCCACAGAGATGATGTAGGTGGTGATGGAAAGGAAAATGGGAGAGAGATTAACTTCAGAAATATTAAGGTAAATATATTTGTAGTTACATGCTTAAACGATGTGTCACGAGTCACTTTGCAACCAACTGCTATGGTAAAGTGACAATAGCTGAATGAAGGTTCCAAAGTTTGGGATAAGTGACAAGTACATCATATTCTTTTTCCGCCTATCAAATAAAAATTCACGAAAACAAGCAAATCGCTCATCACCAGCGAAGTGAAAACGATGACATATGTCTGGAAACCTCTTCCTTGGAAAGAACTTAACTCAACACTATTTGCGTTGCTTTCGTTGTTCATGGAATACACTACGTTGAAATAATGTTCGCATTTACCTTACTCTATCTTCAGATGTCAGACGTCGAACAATGGCTACAAAATCATGTGTCAGAAGGAAGCGAAGAAGACGCCATTGTTAGTAAGGAGGAGATGTGGAAAAGTTTCTGTTGTAAATCAGACATAAAGGTGGGAAGAGAATTATTTTTTTAATTACCTTGGGTTGGCGCTATCTCGTTTGGAATACAAGAATGTGGTTCCGATTATCAAAAAGTGCCGGCGAGTGGGATACAAGGGGCTAATTTTGTTGAGTGCTCCTGTGAGCGATAAAAAGGCGCAATCATGCGATAAAAATGCGTCGGTATCAGTTACACCTCTTGAAGTCAAAGCGCCTGAGAGTTTGAATGAAGAGGTCACCACGGTGTGGCAATCTAACCAGTTAGCCCCTCAAACAAGCATTCAGCGCAAAGCTGTGCAAGAGTGGATGTCTAAATACTACCGCGAAGGAGGAGAGAACGACATCACTACGAAGCAAAACCTGTGGATTCATTACAAAGAAAGCAATGAATTAGATGAGGATCCAAAAGATCATTTTTTTTCGCACCTAGGTAACGTAATAAGGCACCCCCTTTTGCAAAAGTACGCCAAATTAAGAGGAAAAAGCTTGGTGCTTTCCAGTTCCTAAAGCGGACATTGCCTAGCGATGTTAAGGCACGTAGTGAGAAACAGCCATCGTCGACCAGATCAGCTGCATTAGCAGAAGCTGCTAGTGATTTAACCAGCGTCCCTGCTAAAAGAAATTCATTTCAAGTAAAAGAAACAAGCCCTGATCGTTCCAAATCGCATTTCGGTGGTCAGAGGAGTGTGCCTCGTAGTCCCTGTACGATTTTAACCGATTTGGAAAGTGTCCTGGAGAGAAATCCTGATGAAACTTATGTGATTTCTTCTGATATTCCTCTTACAAGTGGTGACAGCGAAATTTTTGAGATTGAAGGAGATTTCAGCTACGACAAAAATGAATTTTCAGGAGGTGAGACAGACATATTCCCTATCGATTCACCAGAGGATATTGCTAGGTGCCCCGACCATTCAGAGGATGGAGATGGCGAAAACGTCAGTCAACCAAGTGAACATGGTGATGCGAGTAGTGAAAGTGATGTAACTGAAATGTCAAGCGGTGCAGAAGAAATTATACCCGTCAACAAGACAGAGGCGTCATCAGACATATTTCATAGGTTCCATAAGAAACTGTCCACTTTGCTTCCTTCGCATCTTCCTGGCAAACCTGCTTCATTTCAGGATTACCTGACAAGCGTCGTTAAAGATCCCGGCAACATAAATGAGGAACGTACAGCCCTTTATTTAGCTTCAGGCTGTGCAAAGACGTACAAGAACTGCATAGTCAGGGCCTTTGTCGCAGCTTCGTTCCCCCCTCTAAAGGTTGGCAGTTTTGCAGCTGAGCAAGTTAAATATACCTTTGAAGGAGACGTCTTCCCACAATTCACTCATATCGAAAAAAGTAACTTCAGCTGCGCCATTTGCATACCTTACCTCAGATGGGCTATAATTAATAGCATACCTCACTCCAAATGTCGAGCCCAATCGGCAAAACCGGATGCAATATTGTCGGGTACTGCGACGTTATGTTTCTCCGGCATGGTCCAGCTCAAAGAACATAGCAGTTCTAGATTGCATTTGGAGGCCGTGGCCTTTTTCAAAGAGCCCAAGAGGAAGAGCTCCGCTGCGGTAGAAAGAAGGAAGCCAGATTAGCGGGGAAAGAACAAAAGCGTATTTCTGAATATTTTCAAAAACCTTCAGTGAATTTAAACTAGGAAGGACCTCCGAGTTCCAACACCAAGCACACACCAGAAATAAAGTCAAGTGCTGTCATTTATGGGATTCGGAGGTCGTTAAAAATTTTGGAAGTGATTCACAGATTAGAAGAACAACTGCTGAAGGCCTCTTCAAAAAAAAAGACGCAACAATGGCGGTTTGAAGTGTCATCCACATGAACCAGGTCATGAAAAATGCTCCTCTTACAACGTTTGGAAGGAAATGCACAAAGTAGAGGCTGATGTCCTTAAGGATGAAGCAAATTCAAGCTACAAGTCAGTGTTTATTCCTGTTTTTAAACAGGTGATCATAAATGGAAAACCAGTCCAAATCAATGGAGCAATTAAAAGCCTCGACCCACCCTGTAAAGGGGAGGCGTCATCTCATGAACATCCATACACGTGCACTAATTGTTTCCGTCAACTGAGAGACCTGAAAAACACTTTGCAGCATCGGAGGTCTGGCAGTTTAGATGACAAAGCCAACAGACTGGGATTGAAAGGTTTCAACAAAAGGTACGCAAGGAGAGGAGAGATGATGAATACTCTTGAGAAAGAAACTCAACGAAGGAAATTGGCAGAGACAGAAGTTAAGGAGCTGGTAAGGAAAACACTAAGCCCTAGAGACTGGGAAGAATGTCTACATCAAGCATGCCTTAATAGGGAAGACCAAATGCTGGTAATTAATCTGGTTCGTTTGATGAAGAGTGGAATCTCTGCAAAAAATCTATGCAGATTCTCATTTTAAAGAATTTAGTGTCAAAGCTTCAAAAAGGAAACAATCATCGTTATGTTGACCTCGTGAAAGACGTAAGCGGGCTATTTAAAAATGAGCTTGGTCCGACTAATTATGCCCTTTTAGCAGATATCGTTGGATTGGCTAAAGAAACGACAGCGTCAAAGCACTCTTCGTCTCAATTGAGGTTGGAGCCTGGCTTAAACATGGATGCAATAGATCTGGCTGCAAACAAATTCAAAGGTTTACCCGTGAACGAAGCAAGCGATGGTGCCCGTTGTCTGAGGTACCTTCACCCACGAAAAGATAAAAACGGCAACGTTGTTTTAATTGGGTCGACCTGGAGTCCTTCTGTGGACAGCTGGAAAGAGGAAGAAATCGTTATACCAAGAAAGGATGCCACTAAGGGCGACTTAGACGACTTTGGAGCGTTGAAAAGGTTAGTAGATGGTCTCATTAAAGGAAATCGGCTAGCCAAGACTGTATCCATTCACAATTTGACGTGTTTGGCAGCACTCGACAAACCTACAGTTATTAATTGCATGTGGCCAATTCAAGACAAAGGTTACAAGGCAGTCCATCTCTTAAAGTACTGGGAAGCAATGAGGAAAGCTTGTTACTTCGACGAATTTGGAGATGTTAGAAAGAGTCCTTTAAATTTGGTTGGTTATTCAACCGACTCAGCCGGGTTTTCATTGTCAGCTGCAATCCATCTGATGAGTCCTTCACACGAGGAAATAAATGAAGGAGTTACTTACCTTGGTCTAGGGCTTGACGACGAGTGCTATTTGGCCCCTTATTACTGGTATCTTCCATCAATTGCCTACCTAGACTATGATCACGAGCAGAGACTATTTCTGAAGAATTTGAAATACCAAACTCGAGATTTGACTTTCTGGGATGACAATGGAAACACAACAAAGCCTGCAACTATCGAACACCTTAAAAATCTAAAGCACCGTTGCCAAGAGTTGGGGCTAGATTGCGGATTCAGTAGTGCGGATTTGCTCCTCATTTATTTTTGTGACCAAAACTCAGATGCATGTGAAAGACTATTTACTCCACGGATTGCAGATCTTCTGGAAAAATACGTTCCTGGATCACAAGGTACCGTTTTGTACATAAGGGCGGTGTACTCTCTTTTACAGCCATTCCGAGTTCCAGACTTTGGCTCACCAGAGGACGTTCAAGAATCAATTTCGTGTGGCATCTACATTTTCCGCTTGTGGAGGAGGGCGTTGGAACTCAAGAAACTGCGTCTTCATTCTCAGCCGGGGGCAAAAAATGATCCCTCAAAGCGTGGCCACTTTATTACATATGGTTGCTATGCTACAGCAGAAGTTATCTTTTCAGCAGGTACCATCCATCAATTGGCCATGTTTTTACATTTTAAAGGCCTAGGTCCACGCTGGGCATGTCCATACAACTCCGGTACCAAAAGCACAGAACGAATTATCGCAGAATTGCAAGGCAAGACAAATGAATTACAATCCCTGGACTCTCAACCAACATTTGGGGACATGCTCGATAGAAGCACGAAAGTACAGTTCAATATCAATGCGAAACACCGCCTCTCCACAGCTGGTGCAAAGGTATCCTCTTCCCACAAACGAAAACGGCTTGCGTTCGCCTTCAGATCCAGCAAAGGACAAGAGAGCTACGAATACCCTGAAAGGTATTCGGAATTCAAAACAGCGCAAATCCAAGCTCACAGAAGAGGAGTCAACAAAGCGTGGGCTCTCTTTTCGAAGTACATGCCACAGCAATGCATTGGTCTTTTGAAAGAGAATGACTGCTGGGAGAAACCCTATGTATATAAGAAACCAGAAGGGTGTTTGGTGGTTGACAGTCCGCCAGGAAAAGATCACAATCTCCTTCAAAAGTCGTTTGCGGTGATAAATGAAAATATTGATTCAAAATGCAACGACGACGAACGAGAAGCAGATATTAACATCCCTGAGGAAAGTCAGTACGAAGGACAGTTGCATGCCAATGAAGACATGACCATCAAGCCTGGCTCCGTGACACCCGAGGATCATGGGGATGATAACAGCGGTGGAAAAAGGTGGAAGGTCAGTAAGATAGTTGACGGCAAGGAAACTTACATCCACATCAAGCAGGCCTTAAAACTTCTTCTACCCCGCGAGTACGTATCTCGTTGTCGTCAGAAGAGACACTGGGCATCACAGTACCTCCCAGGAAAGGAGCCCTTGAATCCAAAACATGATATAATAAAGTACTGCAATGTTGCTTTAAAGGTCACCCTCAATGGCACACCAGTATACGACATCGGGCGAGTAGAGGTCATTGAATCGACAAAGGATGGATCGGATGTTGTAAGCTTTGAAAAGAAAGGGAAGCAGTCGGTGCGAGTACGTTGCTCCTTATACACGGAGGACGAAAATGATGTTTATTTCTTTTCTAATGATGTGATTCTTACAAAATGGAAACCACCTTCGGCTATCATTGGGGCAGTAGATTTGCAGCCTGTCACAGATAGTCCCGGAAAGTACAGGCTTCAGTCGGAGTGTAAAGCTCATTTAAAAGAACTAGGATTCTCGCCAAGGAATGCCAGACGTGACAACGACACCAAATCATCTTCAAATCAAACTGAAGATAATGAAGGGGCCACGGAGAAAGACGACTACTACGAAGTAGACGAAATCGTAAGTCGGCGTCTCTCCAAGGACACCCCCTCGCATATGAGTACAAAGTAAGGTTCAAGGGCTATGGGGAAGAAGACGACATGTGGTTGCCATCATCTTTTTTTTAACCGACCGATAACCTTCCAGTCAACATCCAAGTTTGGTAGGAAGAGGAAACATAAGCTAGATCCCGATATGGACCAAGAAACACACAATAAAAGAAAGAAACGTCAAAGCTCTTCTTTCGAAAAGGCCACTGCAAAACCCTCTAGAATGTCCAAGAAAATTACTAAGAACAGCAAAGACAAAGGAAAATCCTTTCGTTCAAGCTTGAAAACCCTTACAGCCGAAGAACAAAGCAACAATGAGAAAGCAAACGACGGTAACACACAATCAAGTGGGCGAAATCAAATCCCTAGATCGAATGTTCGAAGTTCTAATGAGGTTGCAACAGGGAACGAAACAAGACGCAATGTCATCAAGGAGGAGGGTTCCTTCACGCATGGGATAGAATCCTCAAATGTGTCATATGATACCACAAGTGCGGTGAAATCCCGTACCGCAAAGCTTTGTGAGATTGTTCACGTCGACCAGCTTTCCTCAGATGAAGAGTCAGGAACCGTGATGGGCATACTGAGAGACGTTGCTCGGCGTGATGACAACTTTTGCAATTCAAGGAGGACCCTTGGCTATGCAACCTTTCCCGATGTAGATGCAACGTTGCAGAGTTATCTGTGCTCCTCTGGTGAGCATGCCCGTGGAGTTAGCATAACAGATGCCCTGAGAGTAACAAGACTACCGCCATATTCTTTAATCGAAGACGCAGAGAAGGATATTAAGGAAGAAGCAAGTTCCCAGATTCTTGTTCAATTTCCTTCCTACGGAACCTTCAACAAAAGGGGCATCAATATCTTGAAGAGATTTCATCGACTGCGACAACTTCGTGGCGAAGTCCAATTTGAAGAGAAATGGCTGAAAAATGTTTTTTCAAATATGAAAAACTGTATGAGAGATGATGTGACTCACGCCCTTCTAGACAGAGTGAACGAAGAGGAAAAATACCTGGTGTCCTATAAAAACTATAGGATAACGTCTCAGGAACTTTCAGTCATGTGTGGGAGAGGGTATCTTTCTGACGAAATCATCAATCTACTGATTCAAAGATACTGTGACTTAGCAAACGAGAAGAATCAGTCTTGTACTTTCATCCTTTTGCCATCCTTCCTTTCCGTTGGAGAAGTGTCAGGAAATTTGATTAGGAACATTTGTACCGTTGAAGACATGAATGAAGTAGAGGTAATGTTCCTTCCTGTCCACATGGCTGAATTGTGTCACTGGGGACTTGTCATATTTTCAGTGGGTGAGCAATCAGTGTTCTTCGACGACGGATATCATTGTCAAATATCACGAGATCTTCGATACAGAACAAACATTATTCTCTCTACGATTCACGAAAACACCGAGTTAGTTAAATTTAAACAGTGCGATTGGAAAGAAATTCAGCGATTCAAGGTCCCAATGCCAGACCAACCTAAAGCTGGCTCCGGCAGTTGTGGTGTGGCCGTTATATGTGCCGTACGTGACATTTGCTCTGGAAATGACGACCACTTCACTTGGACATATCAAGATACATCATACCTGCGCGCCCAGTTAATGGTTGAGCTCGTTAATCTCGCATAAGCTGCCGCAAGTAGTACTTCGTTCCTGCTTCATATCAAAATAAGGGAAATCGCTTCACATGAATTCGAGCAAGAAACTTCTTCCGTGCTGGCACATATCTAGATATTACAATATGCACTTACTAGTCTATATACATTCGTCGCTTACCATAGAATGTGCTTTGCTAGCCACTGGTAATTGATTCTTATGTTCCGCATATTCATTATCAAGGATAGATCGTGCCTCGCGGGCAATTATCTTTGGGAACGCATTTATTTATTATTCTTTATCATCCTAGAATAGACTGTGCTTTCCTGGCATTTCATTTCGTCACTACTGCATAACTGTTCTTCATTACCAAGGATAGACTGCTCCTTCCTGGCAATTGTTATCATCTGGAATTTATAATTGGTCATTATAAGAAAGAATGGATTGTAGACTCCTGGCATTCCATATCTTCTGCACCGCATAATTGTTCTTCATCATCTAAGAATAGACTGTGCCCTTCTGGAATCTCATATTTTTTTGAACTGCATAATTATTTTTAATCTTCTACGTGGAATAGACTCTGCTCTTCTGATATTTGACATCTTCAACAGCCCATATGATTTTAATCGTTTCGAATAGACCCTGGCCAGTCCTCGGATTTGGTGTCGTTAAGAATAGACTGTACCTTTCTGGCATTTGATTTCTTCTGCACGGGATAATTGCTCTAAATCATCAAGTAAAGACTGTCTCTTCCCGGCATATGATATCTTCTGCACTGCATAATCATTCTTCATCGCAAGGGAAGACTGCACCTTCTCACCATTCTATTCCGTCAGCACCGCAGAATTGTTCTTTATCGTAAAGGATGGACAGTTTCTTCCTGGCATTTGATTCCGTCTACAAGCCATAATTATTCTTCATCACCTGAAAGTAGCACCAGAAATGTCATATCTTCTGAATTGCATAGTTGTTCATTACCATCAAGATTATACTAGGCTCTCCTGGCATTTCATATCTTCCGGATCGACCGCAACATTGTTCTTCATTGTCAGAGATAGTCTGTGGTTTCCTGGCGTTTCATTCCGTCTCTAATGCATAATTGGTCTTCATCATTTAAGAATAGACTGCCCTCTTACCATTTGATATCTTCTCGACGGCATATTTGTTCTTCAACGTCAAGGATAGACCGTTTCTATTATAATCGTCAAAAATGGACTGTGCCCTACTAGGATTTGGTATATTCTACACCGCATAATCATTTCAATCATGAATCCTTCCTGGCAATTGTTATCATCTGGAACTTTTAATTGTTCATCATTATCAAGAATAGACGATGCTCTATGCTCTCCTTGCATTTCATATCTTCCGCACCTCAAAACTGTTCTTCATTATCAAAGTTAGCTTCCTGGTATTTTATTCCGTCTGCGCCGCATAGTTATTGTTCATCATCTAAGAATAGACTGTACTTTTCTGGCATTTGTTATCTTCCGGACCGCAACATTGTTCTTCATTATCAAAGGTAGACTTTGCCTTTTGGCATTCGGTTTCGTCACCAGTGCATAATTGTTCTTCATCATCAAGAATAGACTGTTCCTTCCTGGCAATTTTTATCTTCTGGAACTTATAGTTTGTTCGTCATTATCAAGAATTGTCTACGCTCTCCAGGCATTTCATATCCCCGGACCGCATATTTGTTCTTCACCATCAAGGATAGACTGTGCCTTCCTGGCATTTGATTCCATCTACAACGCATAATTATCCTCAACCATCTCAAAATGACATGTGCTCTCCTGAAATTTTATATCTTCTGAACCGCATATCTTCTTCACCATGAAGGATAGAAGGCGCCTTCCTGGCATTTCATTCCGTCAGAACCGCATAATTGTTCTTTATTATCAAGGATAGACTGTGCCTTCATGGCGGTTGTTATCATCTGAAACTTATAATTGTTCCTCATTACCAAGAATAGTCTATGCTCTTCTCGCATTTCATATCTTCGGGATCGACCGCACAATTGTTCTTCATTATCAAAGGTAGACTTTGCCTTCTTGGCATTTGATTCCCTCGGCACCGCATAATTGTTCTTCATCATCAAGGAGACAGTGCCTTCCTGGCAGTTGTTATCATCTGGAACTTATAATTGTTAGTCATTATCAAGAATAGACTATGCTTTGCTGGAATTTCATATCTTCTGGATCGACTGCAACATTGTTCATCATTATCAGAGGTAAACTGTGGTTTCCTGGCATTTCATTCTGTCTTCTCAACGGCATACTTGTTTTTTAAAGTCAAGGATAGACCGTTTCTTCCTGGCATTTCATCTCTTGGAACGGATAACTATTATAATAGTCAAGAATGGACTGTGCCCTACTAGGATTTGGTATTTTTCACACCGCATAATCATTTCATGTATGAAGACTTGATTGTGCCTTCCATTTGGTATCATCTGAACCACAAAATTTCTTCTAAGTAATCGTCAAGGGTAGACTTTGCCTGCCCGGCATTCGCGACTTCTTCGGCACGGCAGAATTGGTCCTCACCGTCAAGGATAGACTGTGCCTTTCTGGCATTTGATTTGGTCAGCAATGCGAAATTGATCATTATGGTCATTGATAGACTTTTGCCTGCCCGGCAATTGATTTCTTCAACACCGCATAATTGTTCTTCATCAACGGGTTTACCACCCTTGATTTTTTTTTGTGCACAACGCAATTGCTCTTCATCGTCAACTAAAGACTTGCCCCTCGTCATTTGATTCTGTCAGCAGCGCATAAAGAAATATTTTTTCGTCGTCAAGAATAGACTGTGTTTTCTGGGTATTGGATTTCTTCTGCACCGCATAACCGTTCTTCATCATTTTTTATGGACTGTGCTTCCCAACATATGATATCTTCAGCACCGCATAATTGTTCTTCGTCGCAAGGAAAGACAGTGCCTTCTCGCCAAAAAATAGTTCTGCATCGCAGAACTGTTATTCATCGTCAAGGATAAACTGCTCATTTGGTCAGCACTGCAAAATTGTTCATTATTGTCAATGATAGACTTTGCCTTCTCGGCATTTGATATCTTCTGTACCGCGTAACTGGTTTTCATCATCAAGTAAAGACTGTGCCTTCCCCCTATTTGATTTCTGATAGACTGCTCATTTGGTCAGCACTGCAAAATTGTTCATTATCGTCAATGATAGACTTTGCCTTCCCGGCATTTAATATCTTCTGTACCGCGTAACTGGCTTTCATCATCAACTAAAGACTGTGCCTTTCCCCTATTTGATTTCTTCTGCGTCGCATGTTGGTTCTTCATCTTCAAGGAAAGACTGTGACTTCCTGACATTTGATTCCGTAAGCACCGCATAGTTGCTGTCTTTCTGGCATTTGTTTCCGTCTTCACCGCTTATTTTTCTTCATCATGAAGGATAGACGTTCCGTGCTTTTTTGCTATATGATTTCTTATTCACCAAATATTATTTATATATTATAAGTAATTATAGACTTTGCATTCCTGGCATGGAGTTTCTACTGTTACTGAGAGGGTGTGTTCGAGACATCTGATTGGCGCTGGAAAGACAATGCCTTTGTTCTATTCCCTTTCTGTATCGGCTGAAATAATGAAACTGTTTTGGATACTGGAATGCGCGATGCGGTCATTTGATTTTGTCTGAAATGGATAGTGAGTTGTGCAAAATGTTAATCGAAATTTTCATTACTTTCTTGGTGACAGCGGAACGCGTAATTTTCGATAAAGTTTAGACCAATGAGCTGTTGGAAGTAGGGGGGACAAAAGAAGAGTAAGTACGCGTTATACGTTTGGCGAATGTGCTCTCTAGACATTCTCTTAATGAATCCAGTCTCGTTACCAGTATTTGGAACCCTGGAAACGTGGTTGTTAGTGAGTCCTGGTGTTAGTCATTAGTTGGCGTTCAAATCAGGTGAACCAACTCTTAATTTATTCTTTACGGTCTCGCAATTTTGCTCTCATTTGGAGTGAAGTGAAGACGACTTGTATTCTCCTCAGACCAGTGTGAGCGTAGAAATGACATTTTTATCCCGCGTTAATGTGCACCGAAATCATAACGAGCGAGGAAAATGTCTTAAACACCACTAAGTTTTCCTTGAGATAGATTTTTCGTATCACCTGCATAAAATGGCTCAATTTATCTTCCTGGCTGGCTAAATGTCGGTATATTTTTTGCTGGCAAAAAAGAGAAGAAAGAGACATTCCTGGCTAGGAACATGCCTTTTTGGTAATAATCCTGGCTGGGAAAAGCCCTTAAGGTAAAGATCCTGGCTGGATATTGTACTTTAAAATCTAGCTCTAGCTGGCTTTGGGGAGCGGATATAATTTTGCCAGAGAAGTTAATAATCAACCAAAAAACAATTTGTGACTGTTAAAATATTACTGGGAGCGATATCCAATCACTTTTGAAATTTTTCTCGTTGGGTACTCCTGCTTGATATTTAGAAGAGCCCGCCATCCTCGTTGAAGCACGACATTGAAAAACGTTTCCTTGTGAGTCCTTTTTGCTTACGATGACCCTCGAAAAGTTATTGATGCTTGCAATTAACGCTCTTAAACTGAAATAAACTTTTTTTGTATCTTGAAGGAAGCGAACCGTCCTAAACAGCGATGTTATTTATATATGTGGGTCCTTTTTACAATGGATCCTAAAAGTGAATCCCCATTTTGTCAACATGCTTCGTCGACTGACGTTCAAACATATCTTAACATCAAACAGCCTCCCCACCCCCCCAAAAAATCAGTGTTTCTTTTCGTGGTTCTATGCTGTTTCAGAAAATTCTTGGAATGCTCTCTCACACAGAAGACGACATTCGTAAGAGTTTCTTGAACTGTTTACGATATTTTTGGCTTCGTACACAGTAAATATAAGGATTTAATGCTGAATTGCAAACCAATATTGTCTGCGTCCAAACAAAACATTTTTGGAACAATACCGGATTCTTAGAAGGACTCACAAAAATGGGAAGAAGAAGCAGTGGTAACCAACACAAAGCATAAACAACAACGATGGTGAAAATCGTTTTCGCTGCTTTCTTTTCGTTCCTTTGTTGCTCGCTAGAAGTTCCTTGCTGTGCGGATAAATTAAGGTTGTGAACTTTATTTTCTTGCCGCTTAGCAACCAAAAAGATGTAGACATACATACTCCATGTGCCCAACATTAGAGTGATGCAGTAGGAGACCAAAATGAATTTCGAAACACCGCCGATTTGTGGGACATAAAGCGTCCCAGAAATAAGGCAAATAAACCAAACAAAGCCAATAACAGATGAGATTCTATTGAATGTCACAATTGTAATGTACGTAAGAGGAAATCGTATGGCAATTAAACGATCAACTGTTACCACAAGCATGTTGGTGACGGAAGCAGTCAAAGAGGTAACTCCAATAACTTGTCTTGCAATGCTATGCTTGTTGTCGCCTGTCACAATCCAATAAATCTTTAGTGGTAGATAGACAGAGCAAACAATAAAATCTGAAAAGGCCAGGCTTGAGATGATGTAGTCTGGAGCGCTGCGAAGGTTTTGAAATTTGAAAACAGCGATCATAACCAAAGCATTTCCTAAGCTGCCTGAGATACTCGCGAGAGTAGAAATCATGGAGAGAATTACAACTGATGCTGAAGATAATTGTGGATTGGTGTTGGTTGAGTCTGACGTGTTATTCGAAAAGCTTGGTGGATACTCACTACAATTTACCATACAGGACATGATAAACACAACAGTAGCTGCAGGGAAGGTCACTTCGTCAAAGTTTAAAACTGAAAAAGAAGCAAGAAATAAAAGACAAGAAACGGATTCTTTGCTTATCCCAATGACAAAGCAGGTTAAGGGAAGCCGGGTTTGTTTTGAATTTTTCAAGGACGAAAATACGTAATGAACTTACTCCGACAGGACTAAGATTAAGAGGATCTTAAAATAACAAAAATCAGTAATAAAAATTTTGAATTTGTTAACTGAGAACTTACTGAGCCAGTGGACTAGAGATGATCTACTTGAATGTTGACGACTGTAATTGTAAGGACGATCACGGACGTGAAGGGAATGAACTGTTCTCCGTACACAGCTGTAATCTTGAAACAAAGAACACGGTTTTTCAATAAACTGTAGGACATCATTTATTTTCTTAATGAAAAGTTCATCGTAATTCAAATTTTTTTTGAAACTCTATAGTCAGTAGGAAATGAGTCATGATAGATTGGTTATAAACAGTAGGAGATGAAATGTTTCATTATCCGGATAAAAATCAAGCTGTCTTTAAAAATTTTAATTTACGTTCGTTGAAAAAAACTTGATTTGTTTGCTTTTCTTAAACCATAAAAGAAACTTTTATTTTCTTAATTTTCTGTCTGGAAGTGCTGAAATAATTAATTGTTTCTTCATGAGAACTTGTACCGTCTCTGTGGACAGTTTGTGTGGAAAAAGTGTTCAGTCTTTGCAGTGTAACACAGCTTTTGCCCCACTATAATAAAACAATTGGCCAGGTTGGATCATTAATTCAAGTAAAGAAAATTCCAAATGATGAATAGATTTCTATGTTATAATCAGTTTGTTCTTTTCATATCACAACTGTCGAGTTTACAAGCAATCGTTGACAGCCTAAGGCCAAGGTCTTTTTTGTGATTAAAAATAACTTTTGATTAAAATCTTAAAACCAAGCGATCGTGAATCATTAATTACTACATAGTTCAAGCCGTGAAGATAACCAATAAAATGCTGAACGCCTTGCCGATTCTTCTATCTCTCAGCCAAAATAAAAAAAGGAACTCCACGTCCTGGATTTTCTTAGGGCGGTGTCCGAATTCGAAACATGGCGATGACAAAAGAGACCGTATAATCTCGCCTAAGTGGGGGGCGGGGGAAGACACTTACCATCCGCTGCAATCTCTGCTTAGTATAGAAGACAAGTAGTTCCGCTTAGTATAGATTACAAGTAGTCAATTAATTTCCTCATGAACATATAAAGTAGGGCAAGCGAGAACGAGAGTGCGAAAAAATGGTCATCCCGAAGAGATATCCGGAGACACGTACAATGGGTACAATGGGAAAGTTTTGGGTTGCCGGGGTGGGGTGGGGTGTGCCGCCGCCGAGGCCTTGAGCACCCAAAGTCCCAAAAGTTACCAACATCAATTTTCTAAAGATAAAAGATTATGAGATATAGTATAATGATCAAATGCTTGGATCATTTACAGGAGCCTATACACCATATTCCAGAATGGCAACAATTTTAATAATCTTTATAGTTAGTTATGTTAATTGGCCCTCGATGCCTCCATCGCATCTTCAGAATTCAAAAGAGTTCCTAGCTGGAATCGAGGCATTGAGGGCTAATTAACATTTGGGCTCCTGTCATTATTGCATTTATCAAATTCCCTCAATCAAGAGATCAAAACATGATCTCTTGTTGAACTAATTCCCTAAGGAAATGTATGAATATCAGTCTGGGAATTTTGTATGGCGATAATTAGGCTAGAAGGGTTGAGACAGAATTGGTTCATTTCGCTACCTGTTTAAGGGGAAACAGACCTTTGTTTGACACTATTTAAGAGTGCAGCACACTGATACCCTGTTCAGGATGAAGAACATCTCTTTTTTAAAAATAAATATAATACAAAATTAAAGCCATTTAATTAAGTCTTTTAATTTGGAATCAATCAGCTTTTTCATTTACACAAATCACCGTTACACCAAGGACGTAAACCTGTATATCGTTTAGCCCGCGAGCAAGCTAATTAGGGTCAATCCTCCTCTCCCTTCCCCTTCCCCATGTTTTCGGGAGGGTAACTAGTTTATTTTTATGAAAGAGGAAATAATCCTCGCAGTTGAATAAACAACCTCAGCAGTTTAAATAATCTCTTACCCAGAACCCATGCTTACGAAGCCGGCCTCGTCAACGAGAGATCTGGTTACGAGATTACGGTCAAACCATGATCTTTGCGAGACCGGACGCAACGCTCTGTCCATTATAAAACTAATCAAGCCAACTGGAGAGCAGTCCATTGTCAGTTTGTAATATACCCGATGGTGAAAATGACATGAATGGAAATATATGAAATGACTCACGTTTTGAGCGGCGGATAAAGATATGAAATTGGAAATGATTTCATCAGGAGCCCCCATCAGGGCTTCTGATTTCATATATTGCCATTTATTTCGTTTTAGCTCACAGCTGGACCTTACAAAACCTTGCCCTTTTTGTTTTTACCTGAACCCTTTATCCGATGTGTCAGGAGCCGATTCGGCTCCTGCCGATGTACAAAAGGACTGACAAAATGAAAATGAAATAATGGAAAAAAAAATGAGACTGATCAACATCACGTCGTTGACTGTGATCTGCTTAGCGTTACGTACCCCTTTGGTGTGACAACTAATTTATAGCTGATGACATTATAAAAATGTATTTTCTTTTGTCGCCTTATCTGTCGTCAATTTGGTATCTTTTTCACGGCAGTCGCCTTTGCAAGGCGCTGACGAACTCGCAGCTAGCAAGGAAGTGTCGAATGCTTGGGCTGCAGTAATCGCACGAATCATTTCTTCAGCGATATGGGTAAGTTAGGAAAGATGTTGCGGTCTTTTTGATTGCTTAACTGTCTGTTAGATGCTTTATGATAGCCCTGATGATGGGCAACAATTAGCTAACAGTAGTTGTGGTAGGGCTATTGCAACAATTATTTCATTTGTCGTATTAACATGTCTGAGACAAGCACATATGCTCAAAGGAATACCGTCGGAAGCCCCTAATCTGGAAATTCGACTGGAATAATGGACACTAAAGCACATCATAACGCGTAAATTATCGAACGAGTTCAATTTTTTGAATATGCACTCTTATACAACACGCATATTACAACATACATTTATCTGTGGAAAGGAGCACCTCTGAACGCTGTTATTCAAATTTTACATCCTGTGATCATGCCCTCCTTTTTTGAGTGATTTTTCGTACCATTCCTCTCTTTAAATTGACGAAATATGGCCTCAGATACTTAGAGGAAAATTTTCACCCGTGAAACATGACCGAAATCTGAGCCAATATAAGAATTTGTTGTTTTGTTTGAAAAGTGAGACCTTTGCGCCCGTCGAAAACACTTCACTTCTTGTTTTTCCAAGATGTAATGCTTGTTTGGATTTCTTCCAGTTGTACGTGATCAACATCATCTAAATATTTAAAATAGCTGTTATTTTTATTATTAACAGGTTTTAATGAGTTTTTGAATGTATTAAACCAGTTAAATTTGCAGCGTTTTTACCTACAAAACGAGTAGGAAGCCACATTTTCTAAATATAACCAGGGTATAGATCGATGCCAGCGCAGATATGTAAGATTTTAAAAACAATTCGAAACAATTAGTATATATCTGAACATGAGACAAGCTGTTGAGAAGGGTTCTGCGCTTCTTCTGGCTTGCAATAAAAGAAAACCAACAAAAAAGGTTGTTTCCAGTTTTTCTAAGAAACGAAGAGAAAACACTTATGATTTTTAATGCGCACTTCATGCTGTGAAAATACGTCAAATATTCGTCATTTAATTTACCGACTCAGGCTTATCAGCATGGCGCGAGGCGACTATTCCGACAGATGGCTTAAGTTCAGATACTAAAGAAGTTCTTCAATTAAGAGATATTTGGGTACGTGTTGTACAATTGTGATCTTTGACTATGAAGGCCAAGCAAAGCTGCCTTTCATCTTTTGCTCATAGTATACTATAGCTTGTACGGCTGGCACGGGAACACTCTTTTCACATGTTTTCAAAATCTACAGAGCGCCGATAGTACTGATTTGATTGAGTTCCAGTTATCATTTTACAGGGCTACCTAGAGTGATAACAGCTTGCTTGCTTATGTGGATACTTACCTCTCACAAGGTGGAAAGCTCTCAAGGTAAGTGTTTTTATTGAGGGTTTGAATCTCTCTCCCGAGTCTCATCCGCAGAGACTCCTGCTGAGTATCCCAATACAAATAAAAATAATCGCTTCCTCTCTTTCCCTTTCCCATCGTGCCCCGCGCGCTGTCTTTTTCCTTCTCCCCAGCCCCCCTGCGACATAAGGAAGCCTCCGGGGGAGGAGAGAGGTTTTGAATGCATAGTAAGGGTGGCTATACTAATGCAGGACCCTCACTAGTGCCCAGTCGTCTCTATTTGGATCGAACGCGTCACCGAAGGGAGCGCGAGGGGTGATGGGAAGGAGGAAATCTCCCACCTTTAATCTTACCTTTAATCCTCCCCATCATCCCTCGCTCTCCCCCACGCTTCTCTCGTCAATATTAATAGGAGACTGAGAGACGACTGGGGATGAGTCATCGCAGGATCCGGCACTACATGATAAAGACATCATGATCAAGACATCAGTCTGCTATTGGGCTCCTGGCCCTGGGGTTTAGGTGTGCTAAGATATTGCAGGCAACTCGGAAAAAAACGTTAACTACGCTTGTATTTAAATTCCTTTTTAGTAGACATGCGAGGTTTTTTTCAAAATGTTGGGAACGAAAAGAACATACGATTCCCAGTCTACAAAGAAGTGAAGGGCTACGACATCTTCTTGCGGTTCACAACTTCCCAATGCACAGGACAACTACTAGACATCACCAGCAGAAATAACAAGCAGTACTTACGGATTACACTTCTGGGAGTCGGTCCTATTCGTGTTGCGTTCAACACCCGTCGCGGAAAGGGTCAATTGGATATTGCAATGCGATCAAAAGGGAGCTTCTGCGACGGAAAGAGGCACACTTTCAGCTTGTCCTTATTCCGTGGGGCAGTATACTATAACGTGGATGGGTCCTCCTATATAAGGTACTACGTGTCGCGTTTGGGAGTGCCATTTTCATCGCCAGACAAAATTGTCCTCGGTAAAGGTGTTCAGGGATGCATCACTGATTCTACTGTAACTGTCCGCGCTAGCAAAACGCAAGAATACGTTTTGCAAATGTCAGATGAGTGTTCCGTCAAAAGTGAGTGGTGTTCTTTGCATTTGCTCGTCTTAGTGAAAGTAATTATGATTTTTCCTCGTAAGTAACACATTAATGATGCGAATATTCCATCTCCGAGTTGACCCAAACCTCTGTTTCAAAGCGAGGCTAGGTGCGACGCTATTGATATGAAAATGATTGTTTATTTTCATGCGAATAAAATTCATTTTCACAAGAAACGTTTTGCACATAGCCTCGTTTTGTAACAAGTGGCTGGTGAAAATCACGTGGCAGAATATATTAGGCGGATCAGAAATGACAACGCGAACGTACATGATAACCCGAAAGCGTTCGGAAAGGACTTAACTCGACTTCTGGTGCTTCATTCCTGCCCTCTCATTGGTGAAGCTAGTTTTTAGATCTGCGCGCAGTGTTACTGCGGTCTCGGTTTCTTTGCTAAATCTGCCTATTGTCAGTGATCGGCTCCTGCTATTGTCCAAAATAGACAGCGATCTCAAGAGAAAGCGCTGTGATACAGAGGAAAGATTTGCGATCTATACTTCCAGTGCGGGTTTACTTTTTCATTTTGGCCAGTCCTTCTTTGTCCTCAAGTAGTTACAAAACACGCGAACTATAGGGGTAAAAAGATGAGATTTCATTTCCTATCTCTTTTTTTAACAGAGACCACCCTCCGGCCATCCAAACCACCAGTGATTACCTACAGTGCCAGAAAAATAGCGAGGTCAACAGTGTCAGTCACGCCAAAGTGTGAACCACTGACACTCACAGCCTGTAAAGAACTGGGCTACAATCTCACACAAGTTCCAAACGCCCTGCAGCAGAAGACATCTAGCGACGCATCGATGAAATTGTTAGTTCTTCTATCAAATTTACGGCCGAACTGTTCTCCTCATCTTATTCCATTTTTGTGTCAGTTGTATCTCCCCCCCTGCGCTCTTCCTCAGCAAGCCGCCCCACCCTGTCAGTCACTGTGTCAGAGTGTCCAGGAAGACTGCGCAAGTGGTGTAAACCGCTGGCCGGCTCATCTGAGCTGTAAGAGATTCCCACGAGCCAATAATGAGACGAAATGCTTCCTAGGATCGACTAAGGTAACTTCAAGGCGAACTACACTGTTGAGAGGCGAGAATTTATCAGAAGAGGATCTAACGGAGACAAATACAATGAAAAAGACAGACAATAAATCAAGGAAATATTCCCCAAGGAAAGACGTGAAAACAACCGAAATAGTTTTCAAGCCAACAACGGCAAACCCAAAAAGCAGTCGGCTTAAAACAAACGACCGTGAGAGCAAATTTACAACCAAGATGAATTTAATCACATCTGGTGAAGTAAAGGCATCCATGAAGCCACTTACAACCAAACCTATTACAAGGTTGATCACAGAGACGATAACTGCCGGCAAGTATACAAAAATAAGCAAAGAGAAATCAGTTACGGCGAGAAACAAAAGGGAATCTTCAACAACAAAACCAACGACAACAAAAACAACAGGAAAACTCACCACTATAATAAAAAATGTAACAGTTACTCAGAATTACACGAAAATACGCCTGAGAAACCCAACGAGGATCTTTAATAGGACCAGACCCACCAGACCCAGTGTGAACACAAACGCAAGCCAAAGCCAGTTCAATTCTTCTGTTTCTCCACTGCTTACTGTGACACCGACAACTAATAATGTCGAAGGTTTGTATTAGCTGAGAATAATTACATGTAAAATGAAATTTAAGAGCAGAGAAAGATGACTTTTCTTGAGAATGGAATCCCATAGTGAAGCAAACGTTTTCCTGCCCTTTTTGTTAGTAACACATACGCGCTTCATTTCTCGGAGTAACAAAAGTTCCTTACAATTTTTGTTTCAAACAGAAATTGTTGTTCGTCAAACTAACAGACCATGGAAAGGGAATGCATGAAGTATTTAGACGGAAAGAGCAGGATAAAAGTTCCCAAAAAGTCTTCCAAGCAAGAAAATGTTAATTGTTACTTCGAACTTTACTTTTTAAGAGATTTTTCAGACGCGGTCATTGTCTTTCTTTGTACCAACCACTCAAAGATGTTTTTATAATGCACAGGTACAACGGAAAAGAACGGAGGCAAATGTATGATATAAATCTTTCTTTGAATCATGTTTTCAAAACTGACTTTTTCCTTCGCTCTTTAAATTTCGTGCTTCCACGAAAAAAACAGAACTCCTGATCATAGGTTACACTGACCCGTCCGTTGGCCATTTTTACACTCGGGTCAATGAGGCTAAAAAAAATTTAATAGTTAAAGCCATCCCCTGTTTTGTGTTATTTCAGGTGGTTGTGGAGGTGTATTGGCAACTGCTAAAGGAAAGCTTATGTCACCAGGTTACCCAGTTGGGTATCCTTCAAACACAACTTGCAGATGGACAATCGCTTTACCAAACAACTATCATGTGATCAGATTTACAATCCACAGAGTTTACCTTGAGGAGGATCGAAACTGCGTGTAAGTTACTCAGAGAATTTCTGTCAAACGTTTAGTATTATAATTATACCAATGAAATTTAAGGACTCCTTTAGGATAGCTTTTGTATTCTACTTAGGAGACTTAACGCCAAAAACGACGCGCATACATTTTTCTTAAAGGGAAACATTTGCCTTACTGCTGGTTTGCACGTGACGTCATGGCATGGTTGGTGGTGAAGAACAAAAACATTTCTGGGGGCTAAACTCCATTTTCATGTAAATTCTTTGAAATAATTGTTATTGTATTGACCACCAACATGGCCACCGTATCACGTGGTTGCAAATCAAGAATAACTTAGACTTCTACTGATCGTAATTCGAGGGAACAACGAAAACCTGATGACGGCAAAAACCTTGCGCAGCCTTAACAATTTGTAATTAAGCGAAAAGCTACTTTATCAATGGAATACCACTGGGGCCTCTGGGCTTCTTTTACCAAATCCCAACCCACAATGAAACAATTGTTCCGAAAAGTACTCCTACCTACATCTATTCCAAACTTAGGAGATTTACGACAGCGCACAGTAATTTTTAGGGAGTTATTATAACTCCGAAAATGGAGTAAAAATTTTAGATACAGGATAATTCATTTTTTTGGGTTATTTTAACTCCTCAATATCTGGGGTGATTTTTACGGCTGAAAAAGAGTTTTTTAAACTCCTTTTTGGAGTTAAAATAACTCCACTGTAAGGAGTTATTAGAGGAGTTATTATAACTCCTTGAAAATTACTTTGCGTAAACGCACCCCCATCAAAGCCTGAGCAAACAGTTATTATTATTTTTTTTTTTACAGATATGACTACATTGCAGTGTACGATTTATTGGACAACCAAGTTGGTCAGCGTTACTGCGGCTCAATCATGTCACCTGTGTACAAAGAAGTCAAAGGCAATGTAGCAGTGGTCGTTTTCCATTCAGACTCCACTAACAGTAAAAAGGGTTTTGTTCTTTCCTACGAAGCTCACACATGCCTCACGTCAGCTAAAGTGGAAGAGTGACGGATGATTTGGTCAACGACGAGCGATATTCAAAGTGAACTTTGCTATCTCAGTACCATTATAACACTTATTCAGTTATGGAGAGGTCCAGCCGGGAAACTTTACCCTCGGACAAACAGGCCTTTTATCATAAACAGCAATAATTTTAGTTAAGAAAAATTAAAGATCACATTATTATATTAAGTAAATTAAAATCGATTTAACGAAATTTCTTGAAAGGAATATGAAATTAAGTTGCTTCGAATCGTTACGAAGAAAGATGCATCAATTGTTTGCAAAATACCATGAAATACCACGATAGACTAGATTTCTAGATAGTCATGAACTTGGTCGAACAAAGCGAGAACGTTGCAAACCAGATTCGATGACAAATCGGTGAGAAAGTACGGACAACAAAGGGCTAGAGCAAGGTAACAAGTTCCTTGATCACTCAATTACCTTACTATTTAGTAACTCTTCAAGTCCCAAGGGTGATCAAAATCTATCATGTCCGAGCAATATCAATACAAGATCAAAAGAAAAAGTAATGAGATTTTATAAAATGATCCCCTACAGTTAATTGCTTTGATCTTTTAACAAAATCTCCCAAATAATTCTCTAACAAAATGTAGAGAGAAGAGTTCATGATAGAACGGACAAAGAGAAACCCCCATTAACGTCAGTTTTCGTTGGGTGGGAACTGTTAACCAGCATTTTAACCCAAAAATCGTTTCCATAGCATTTTATTATATACAAACACTCTATTATTTTAAATAAACATTTTATTTACAGTATTGTATGTGCTGGGATTGGGGGCAGATCCGGCGAGTTGAGAGTAACTTCTCTCATCTTTACAAGCTCTTTATCCATAACCTGTTGCCGCCGTTCCTGTTGTAACCAATAAAACATCTCGGTTCGATCCAGGCTCATTTTCTCCAAGTATGGACGACCCTGTCGAACGAAAAAAGGGTCACGAATTTCAACTGACTGACATTTTGGTTCGTTCACTTGCTTATAATTTAGAAAACGAATGACAAGAAATTTCCCTTAAAACAGCCTTTAGTTCATTCTTGCACTTAACGACATTCGCTCCGCTATCATCATACCATAACCAGCATACCTGGAATGTGACGATGTCTCCAAACTGGCTCTGAACATCTGTGACCGCCCTTCTGACGTTACTATCAATTTGTGACAGGCGCTGAAACAAGACCAAAAAACACATTCATATTATTTGCCACCGACATGACGCGATACCAGTTCTTGTAACAACTGTCCTATAGTCCTACCGTATTTATTCGAATAAGCGCCCAACCTCGAATTAGCGCCCACCTCGAATAAGCGCCCGTCCTAAAGGCAGAAAAAGTTAATAAGCGCCCAGCCTCGAATAAGCGCCCACCCTCTTTCACCTCCGAACCGAAAAAAATTGAATAAGTACTAATAAGAGACTTTCCCGAAGACGGAGTTTTCTTCAGAGTATTTTACAGAAAGCTTGCTTTGTTACACCTTCGAGTTTTGTTATTACCATTTATTGTTTTGTTGCAAAATAAACATACTACACTTTTTGAAATTGTGAAAATTTAATAAGCGCCCAGCCTCTAATAAGCGCCCACCTCGAATAAGTGCCCACTCTCAGGGTCCAAAAATTTAATAAGCGCCCAGGGCGGTTAATCGAATAAATACGGTAACTGTAATTGCAAACTTTAACTCGGGATACAAGTAAACTCAACGTTAAAATTAGAGGCGACACAATTTACCCATAATAGCTAGGCCATAATGCCAAGGCTATTATTGCTTACCTTGTTAAACGAATCTCTTGTCTTGGACTCGCGGATTCTTTCAGCCGATGAGCCGATAGCACCTAGTGTAGACAATTGACATTACTCAAGTAACATAATTAAACCACCAGCTTCAACAAATTTCAAGGAAATTGCCAGTTTCCTGTTTGAGATTGAACGCATATTCTTACCTTTGACGAAAAACCTGTTAGGATCTGACGCAGCTCTTTCGAAGTCCTCAAGCTTGGTCATTAAACTCTCGCGCTCCAGTATGACCTCCGTGGCTACTTCCCAGGAGGCAAGAGACTGAAACAGTAAGACCAGTCGTTAACCCGTGCCTGAAGAATGAGTAGTGTCCCGAGCTTTTCCTAAGTGAAAGCAAGAGAGAATGATTGTCTCTTGACAATCCAAACAAAGCCTTTCCTTACCTCTATCAGACGCGTACTATATGGTTCTGCACTATATTTTATTGCCATGTCCAATCTTTGAGCATCTGGCATACAAAGTAGCATCCATATTCTCTCCAAGCGCTCTTGAGGCGACAATGAACCAGCCTACCACAATACAAAACGGTAAACCATTACTTGAGCTCGCTGAGAGGGAAGCCGAGAGGCTCATAAGAATTGTAAGTTTATCTTAACACTTGCCTCGCTTGTACTAGCGCTTTCTCCTCTGGCAGTGGTGGAAGCTTGAGTCATAAAACCAACAGAATTCACTCTCAGTGTAGCCTCCAGTTTATGCTGGTCTGAATTTCCAGTCGTGTTTGATCCCAACGACTGGACACTACTAGCTGAGCGAACCAGTGGCGAGCCGACCATTACAGTTGGCTGTTTACTTGGTGTGACTGTGCTCGGCACAGGAAGATACGTGTCCTCAAGGTTGGCCATGAGTTCTTCATCTAAAAAGTCCAAATACATACTAGACAAGTATTATCAATGGTAACAGGTCTTTAAAACGAAAAGTATTCACACATAAAACAGACATGTTTGAAAAGGGGGCTGATACCTTGCTTAGAAAGACACAGTGGCATTCAGTATGGCACAGGCAATAGAACACACTGCCCCAGATTAACCATCCTTGTCAGTGACACACTGTGATACATGTAAAAAAACTAGGAATATTGCTTCAATTCTTAGAGCTTTCACTTGTTATCACGAACGAGTCAAGCCGCGGGAACATGATATTCGCTCCCTAGATGTAATGGCTGTCGCTGGGTTACCCTCTTCAGTATTTTATGCTGTGGCCTGCATACACCACCAGGGTGAAGACAGACAAGAGGAGAAAAGTGCATCCTCCTCTCCCCACCCCCGCTAACAAATATAGCCTTTAGTTAGGAAAAGACCTCTGTTTGGACATCGCGCGAGTCGTAGGTCACGCGCGCGCGGGAGAAGAAGAAAGGTCTCTTATGACTGACAGTCTTTTTTCTTCTTGAGTTCGGTACCAGCTTTCTATTGTATGGAGTGTTCTGATGCTTTTAAGAACTAACAAAGGGAAAATATTTACCATTAACATCAGGTTCATTTCCAAGTCCTCCCAGGAGAACACTGTTCACATTCCATACACCTGGTTTATACTCAGATTTTAACGATTTCAGTTCAGCTCGCTTTCTCTCTCTTTCACTGAAATCGGAATAAACGACAAAACTTCCATTCCAGTCTTTCTCATAAGACGAAAAAAAGAGGCAAAGTGAATTAACAGATGAAATACATTCCAACCACGACCCCAGGCTAGGCTGGATACATTCAAATTGCATATGAAGGTAGATAGAAGTGTCAATCGTCTCATTGACCCAGCCGCCCTACGCAAGAAAAGCCCCGTTGAGGACTGGGATGAGGAAAAGGCTCACAATTCAGTACTCAAGTTCGGCCACTTATTTAGACTGCTACTGAGGATGCAGCTAGTTCATGAATTTTTTGGTCAGCCTGTACCTTATCAAAGCCATTTGAAGAGTGTCTGGACGATCCTCGTTCCCATCCCCCTCGCCATCATCCTCGTTATCAGAGTCGTATAAATGAAATAGCAGCGACATATAGTCATTTTCCTGCAAAACACATGGCATTTTGATCGACAAAACGTTTATTTTATACACAATACATGTAAAGTAGTCGAGACAGCAAAGTCGCCAGTGATCATCATCATTGATCATGGTTGGTTCAGACTAAAAATGATTGATTACAAAGTGTAAAAACTCAAACACAAACAAAGAAAAAACGCCTTGGTAAAACCGTACAAAATATTGTAGTGGTGCTTGAGGTAATAAGCATTTCTTAGGAGAGTGACCAACCTCAACCACAGGGGCTTTTCCTCATTTTCTAAGCGAAAAACCCTTGGGGGGAGGACTGGGTTGGGGAGTGATCGTACCTGAGTGGAAAGGAACTTGAGGAAGTCATCTGTAGTGATAGTACTGCGCCACCAGGCCAGCCAGGAGTTGTACGATTTATTACCATGACCGTTGTCATCACCCTTTTTCAGTTTTGCCTGTGGAAACAGACCCTCACATTATAAATGACCCAGGACGGCAAAACCCTTTTGTGTGTGACAAACATGACAGGGCGATTACTTGCGTGTTTTGTAGTGATCTTCTCGTAACATTTATATTTTCTGGTCTTTTGTAAAAAAAGATGGGTTTAAAGGAGGGTGAAGGTTCGCGGAAAGTTTTTTCAAACAAAACTATCGTCACGCTTGTCACACAATTTTGCCTCTTCTTCCCTCTCCCGTCCTATTGCGTACGTTCACTGCTTTGGTTGGCAAGGCATTTATTAGGGCGTCACGCAATGAAATGCTGACTAGTACGTTTGCTGACCTGCAGTATGTCTTCTCTTCCAAGACCGCCAAACTTTGGACTGCAACATAAAATCATTATAATCAGTATTTCTCTCTCTTTGGTAGTATTAATATCGCTGCGCACATGCAGGTAACACATACAGACGTTTGAGTTGGTGAATAAATTACCAAGTCAGTCAAGTCAGTTTAAGCCACTGCGCAGTAATCTGCGCAACCCTTCCCTGTGCATCCTCGTCCCCAGGTCCCCTCACTTGGTTTAGTCACGTGGAATCGTCCCTGTAGTACGTTTGTTATATGGCACAAGTTAATTCTAAACTCTTGATTCGGTGGATTCAACCTAACCCCGGCTATTTATATGTAAGCTACTGAGCAGAAATTTCCTGTGGTACTATTTTTTCATGTAGAATGCGACCTACCAAATCCTTGTCAAGCAAACGCAACATAAGTGAAGTTAGTTGAAATTGTACCTGTTTCTCCAGTTGTCGGCGGTGCTGTTTCCCCATGGCGGTGGAATTTCTTTTTTCAAGTGTTTATTTATAAGGCGTTCCGCACGAGGTTTGTCCAGTGAGGAAGATGATGTACATAAACTAACCTCGGCCGTACTGGCGTGCCTTTCCACGTACGTATCCTACGATGAAAGAGCGACAAAAAGGGGCTTAACTTTTCGCCAAATAAGAACTGTATGGATACCCGTGCATTAAAACGCAAGGAACGTGCACAGGGCATAGCCGAAGTAATGCAAGTTACAGCTGGCATTCACGTTAAATCCTCGCAAGGGGAACCGAGATTTCTCTGTCAACTCACTTGATCAAAAAGAAGATGGTCTGTTCCTATGGTCTTGATTATTTCTTCATAAACTTCTTTGATTTCTTCGCCTATGAAAAGGTTTCTGTCCAGCCACTTGACCATGGGCGCATCGATCTAAATCAAGGTGAAACACACATCACCAACACAAAATTATTATTTTTGGCCTCAAATAACCTACAGTGGTGAGAAGACTTCAGGCCTTAATCAAGAAAAATTATCTGCTACGCATCGTAACTTCAGTTTCCCTTTTTGGTGTTTGAAATGCCATAAAACACTACGACATATTACGTACCTCTCCTGTCAGGTCGTTGTAAACTGTTGGATATCTTTTCAATGTCACTGACTCCTTGTTGACTCTATTGGACACACGAACATCAGAGGCTCTGACTACAGTCTGTAAAAGACAAGACTAAACTCAAAAAGCGTGCTGGACAAGCCATGCAGATTTTTCCTGGCCGAGCACAAAAACTTCATTTTAAAGACATCAAAACGCAAAAAACGAAAATTTAGCTCTGTAACTGAGTCTTCTTTCTATAAAAAGCTACAGACTTCATATTATTGCCATTTTCAACCAAATAATTGTGGCAGTAACCACCGCGGGTTTACATCACACTCTGCCTCCGTGCCATTTTTCTTACTCTACAAAAATCGGTTTAAAACTGCTTTTCACTAAAACAGCTTTTGACAGTGTTTTCAGTGCTGTCAACTGACACCAGTTGTAGTTAAGTCTTACCTTATCTGGAAGCCGCAATGATACTACAGTAGGCTGAGGATGCTGTGGAAAAATAATTCGGCGCCGAGGTTACAAGAATGCATCAAGGTTTTGTCTTTCAACAAATAAAATAAAAGAACAAGAATAAGACTAATTAGTTATCACGATTTGAGCATCGTGAACAGCTCAAAATTTTCCAAGCTCCTCCTGGCAAACCTTTTACAGCTTCTTGTTGTTCCTTTGAGAATCAACACATTGATGAAGTTTCCATTACACGTTTAGCAAAATGTTGGCTTAGGGGAGGGGTAGGTGGACAGTTTCCCAGAAACGTATTGTGATCCGGAGTTTCACTGCTGTTACAGACGTATGATTAATCGAGGTTCTGGCCTTAAGACTACATCAAATGACTTATGGTAAACTGAACCAATTGGACTCTGAAGATGACTATTGTCCGCACAGGTCGTCAAAACGTCAGACACTGTCAACAACAGTCCCATTCAGGAATACGCGCGCCAGGACGATCATAATCATGCAACCTACTCATGAAATGACTCCTGGGTTTAAACCTTTCATTGTTTCATCGGACTACAGTTACGATAAGGAGGTTATTACAGTTTGCATTATTCATATGGAAAATGGAGAATACGTACCTCTTCACCGGTAAATTCTGTTATACTGGAATGTAAAGAAAGAGAAGCAGATGTAATGATAAGCTATAAAGCAATAACAGTTGACTGTTTCTTAGTGATTACACTGGTAAGCAACTTTCTAACTATGAAGCATCTTGGTTTACAATTGATGTAGTGTTTTAGACATTTGCTTCTCAAACTCATTAATAATTCATAAAGAAAATACAAAGGAAATTAATGTTTAATGAGTGTTTGGAAATCGGATGAAACACTGCTTAGTATTTGCATCCTTAATTTCTCCTTCAAAAATGATTTTGTTTGAGAAGAAATATCAAACATTCGACACAGTGTTTCATCACCAGATGAAACACCTCGAAGTTCGTCAAAAATACTCCGCTGCGCGTCGTATTTTCAACTCTCTTTTCGGTGTTTCATCTGGTGATGAAACACTGCGTCTCATGTTTGATATATTACTTATTAAGCAACCAAGTATTTTGTGAATGTCACTTTTAATATGTATTTAGAAATACGTGCCTGCACCCCTATCGCCACGTATGAAAATTGCCAACTAATTTAACTGTTGTCAATAAGGAATTCAAACTTATTTCTCTTAATTAGAAATACCGATACCCTCGCGCATCCCCTCCCCTACCCCGTTAATGTAAAATGACAGATTTATTGATTTATTAAATTCATTAATCACGACAGTAACACTTCATGTGGACTGATTCCAGTGCAGTCATGAGCTGGACGTTCAGATTTGTTTTTGATCTTCGGCGATATGACCTCCAACTTAATGTGCCCGAGCTTTTGCACTTCGCATTCTAGTTCTTTACGGGGAGATAATACTATCATCTTCAGTTGAAAAAGCCTCACCCTTGTCTCAAATAAACCCTCCTCTATAAAGCACCCCACCCCCTCCCCTTAAAACGTGCTTGAAATAAATACCCCAAGGCTTAATAGAGAATTTATGGTATTTGTTTCATTAACCTGGAAAAGAACCTCAACGGGGAAAAATAATTAAGCATGAATTCAATTAAGCCTTACTTCTCATCCATTACAGTAGGATCATTGGCAACTGAGGACGCTTCTGTTGATCTTATGCTGGACGTGACACTAGCCGCGTCATCTTCCTCATCTTTAGATCCAGCTTCAGTTTGAAGTCGCCTTTGTTTTCTTATATCCCGTGGTTTGTTAGTGGAACTGTGGCGCGCAAGTGCCTGTGCCAAGAAGATGTAAATTGGTCATGCTTTTATGGTCACTTTTCTCTTGACTTGATTGTCCTATGACCCTTGAGGTATGACCGATCGTTCGTTAAAAATTGATGATTGACAAGTTAAGCGATCAATCGCCTATTTACTAGACATCGATAATTAGTGATGTGAGCTTATTCTTACCTGTAGCAAGGGCGGAAGATCATCAAGATCTTCCTCGCCTTGAAGTCTTTCCTGAAAGAAAGAAAGATTGGTTTCGTTGATTCTTCATTTCAATTCCCCCCGTGAATCCAGACAAACATGAGATGAATTAAGAGAGGTCACATGAAAACTTCGAAAATTCATGACCATCATCCAGTCAAAGACAGCTGTAAATTATCCTGGTACAATTATCGTCGCTTTTAACGCACATTAAAATCATTATTCTAAGAGGTAAAATGTCATGGTAAAACAGAGATGATGACGCGAATATCGCTAGCAAACCGCACCGCTTATTCCGTTAGCTCAGGCGTTTTAGGCCTAAGATATACTTTTGAGCCATAGAGAACCCTTGCTCACGAAATTTTAGCGGGCCATTGTAACCAAAGCAATTTTATGTGTGAGTGAATATCGCGCAATGCTACATGCTAGCGTAAACTATGTCAAATGTACACAGTGTGTTCATTATTTGGCCACTTACCTTGGGTTTTGAAGGGGAAAGAAGCTTCATCAGATCTTGAGAGGCGCGGTCTGCCGTACCTGGCCTAGAAAACGTACATTGCTTACTTTTTAGGTTGAAAGCGTTTACAAAGATCCCGTTGAGCTGAAAACTAGTTAATGCTTAAATGCAAGAAAAAGCTCTTTACCGATCAAAAACATCTGACAATCGTCAGATGTATCAGCCGGAGGATGCGAGATGAACATCTCCAAAATGCACTTTGAGGAGAGACGAGGCCGTTTTAGAAAAGGTTATAACCCGAGTGAATTTATCTACCGGGGGAAACAAGGAGCCACTGCAAAGATGTGGCGGTTCGTAAAGGTTCAACTAGCCTGCGAGCAAGCTCTCCTATTTGGGTAAGCGAAGTGAGCCTTGCGAGAACGCGCGAGCGAGGGGGCCACTCGCCCAAATAGGAGAGCTTGCTCGCAGGCTAAGGTTCATCCTTTTTTTCAACTCACTTTGTAACACTTGTCCTCTCAACATCACGTTCCTGAAACTTCTTTTCTTCCTAAAAAGCAAAATAAATGGCAAAACGATCACAGTATTAAAAGTAAATACAGTTCAAGCGACCACTCTCGTAAGCGACCAGCTCAAGATACAATACCTGTGAAACCCCGTTTGAACCGTGGCTTAAACTTTGTAATGAAAAGCTCTAGTAAGCGATCACTCCCGTATAAAGCCATGAACCGCGGCCACTTTTGGGATTACCCAACTGGACTTTTCCTTTGTTTTTAGCTCTGGTAAGCGATCTCTCAGAGTCTTGTTCATATAAATCAACACAGTAATGAAACTACACACTGCGCTAATAGTCTAAAAAATTAGACGTAAAGTTAGCCGTGTCTATATTAAATATAAAGACACTCATAAACATTAAATTCTTTTGTTTTTTCTTTATGAATTTTAAACGACTGAGTTTCTGAAGCTCTCGTAAGCGACCACCCCCTATTGTTTTACCATGCGGTCGCTTGCGACAGCACATTTTCGTAAGCGATTAAGCTCCAGTTACGACCACTCTTTCGAATTTCCGAGGTAGATGCTTACGAGAGTTTCGACTGTAAAAAGAGATTCCAGAACAGAATCCAAATGGAGAAACCGACGTTAATAGCAATTAATCTTAGGGTGCTACATCCTCTTTAGGTTGCTGAATATTTCTGTCGAACTGAAGTTTTCGGACAGGTTTACCTGTTCGAAGCCTGACCAGATAATTGTTAAAAACTTGCGACAGAAGATCAAGCGACGTTTCCCTTATTGTCAAACTTGTCAAGCCAATGCAAGTGTTATAAGCTATTTTTTACGAAACGCTATTTTGAATACAAACCATGAGTTTAGTTTCGCTTTGACTCCTCCTCATAATATAATCTGAGAGAAAATAATAATAAAATGATCATAATACGTCTTCACCATCTTTCATGTGGGCGGAAAGTTTTACATGTATATACAAAGTACAAGTACATTCACTATCTGTCGATTACCTTGCATTTCCTCTGGTAAAATACCAAGCTCTTCAAAGACAGCATCTCTTGAAAACAGCTCTGGTAACGACGCATATTTCTTAAACAGAGAGAAAAACGCTCCCTTAGGCCTGTAGTTATTAATAAGACTACTTAAAGTGACAGTTATTTTGATAAAATGCTCGCGGGATACGAAGGCAAGCAGCTAAACATGAGAAGAAAAAATTCGACAAACTCAAAGACTGTCAACAACGAAGCGGACATATTTAATAATACCAGAAAATCAATCATGGCAGGCAAGTTAAAAAGGAAATTTTTTTATTCGGCCGTCGATAAAGTGTGCGCATGCTATAAATAAAACAAAATACAAGAGCAGATTAAAGAATGGCGACAAAAGAAGAATTAAGAAATGAATTACGTTAAAAGAGTACCACAGAAACAAAGACGAAAGATAAAGATAGAGGTGCAAATGATGTAAAGTTTACTTCAAAAGAATGAGAGAGAAGACTTCCATGTGTTTCCATCGTGATACTCTTGGAGAAAATGTGAAACACAAGACGGTCCTTGGGACGGGGATCTGAAGAATGAGATGGAATGAGGAGGAGAGGTATACAACTTAAAGCACTAAAAAGAAATACCATACAAACACACTCCAGTCCAAAATTAATCCCAGAGAGAAAAGGAAGATATGACACCAAAACTCATATCCAATAAGTAGAAAAATACACGAAATGAAAGCCTAAACTTCAGAGGCGTATCAACAGAGCTCCATAATATAAGGACAAAGTCTTGTTTTTGTTTCTTCATCGAACAAGTCAACAATAACCAATCAGTTGAATAAGATTTCATTTTATCACGTACTATGTGCCTAAAACGTTTTCACGGTTAATTTGGATTGGATTAATATGCAGGTACCATATGAGGCTAGCCTGCATTACAGCCGGCCCACGCACTCGTCTAAACCATTTGAAAGGTTTAGAGTAGCCTGCGATCATGCCCTCTCCCTTTATCTCTGTAAGCTAAAAAAAAAAAATTACGCCTGATCTCAGGTTAGGTTTAGAGCGTCTGCGACGCAGGCAATATGAGGTACGCTAACATGGAAAACATTGTTAACAGTGGTATAAAACGCTTAAAACAAAACTGATTGTGACCCTGTGTAGTGTAGATTGTACCCACCAGATAAATCAATTATATAGTACCACCCAGTTAAGGAGGAGAAAGAGGAGTAATTGATATAACCAAGGTAACCTACTTGCTGAATTGAGCGAAATATTCCCTCATCACCATTTCTGAAAAAAACAATAAAAAATTGTCTTAGTAACAATGGACAAAACGGGTAAATGCAAAAACGAGTGCAAATACAGTGTAACTACGATGTTGGGCCTTTGTACTCTTGATGTTGGTTCTGTAACGAAGTGTAACTTTTATTGTCATATGTTCCTTCTATATTATCATTCAATGATGTACACCTGTACCACGTAAACTTTATGGACTCTATCAGCCCACCTCTTGAATTTTTTGCTTTGAAAAGTGTTACTGGCAAACTGCATGTTAAGGACAAAGCAATAATAAGTCATGTCATGGGGCTGTGAACATATTCTCTGATCAGTCCGTCTAGTGCTAGCCTGCAAGCAAGCCCTCAGCTCCCTACCCCTACTCGGAGCCCCTGGAGAGCTTGCTCACAGGGTAGTCTTCCCACCCCCACCGGGAGCCCCTGGAGAGCTTGCTCACTGGGTAGTCTTCCCACTCCCACCGGGAGCCCCTGGACAGCTTGCTCACATGGTAGTCTTCCCACCCCCCCTGGAGCCCCTGGAGAGCTTGCTCACAGGGTAGTCTTCCCACCCCCACCGGGAGCCCCTGGAGAGCTTGCTCACAGGGTAGTCTTCCCACCCCCACCGGGAGCCCCTGGAGAGCTTGCTCACAGGGTAGTCTTCCAACCCCTACCGGGAGCCCCTGGAGAGCTTGCTCACCGGGTGGTCTGAAGACTCTGCAGTATTACTTTCTTTTCAATGGTGCAAAGTGGCTCATCTACAAACTGTTTCACTACGCTAACTTCCTATTTCTACCTTACAGTGCAGTTTCGTCTGGCTCGGTTTAACATAGTCGTTATTGGTGTAACTGCAATCCATCTCCACAGGTTCCTAGTGTTCCTGAGATACAAAGAATTGCTCTTGGCTGTCTAGATGCTTGTATTAAGGAATGTCGGTTAAATGAGTATGACTCAAGTACAGCAAAGTGTACCAATAACTAAACCTTTATTGCCAGCATAAGGTTAAAGACACTTAGGGCAGAAAAAACTTAAGGTGCAATGGAATATCCCCACATGTGGAGTTGATAGAAGATACTGTATGAACACGACACGCAAGACCATTAACTAACAGATTTCTGGCCTTTTCTTTAGTAATTAAGGCTTTTGCCTAGTTACTTATTCCATGCTAAGAAAACTCAATGAATTATGAAAGAGTGTTTTTAAACGTGATAAAACTGACCAAACTTTTACACTCTATTTTTTTCAACAAGAAAAACTTTAAAAATTAGAACCATACCAAGAATATCATTTGAGGAATGAACAGATCGAGAGAAAAAGGTGCAGATGAGCCTTTGCCCTTGTCTTTGCACTTGTTGGTGATTCTGGTTTTATTTCCCAATATTATTATTATTTTCAAATGAGTCACATCAAGTTTCTCCGTGGATCACATACCTTTGCTGTGATAAATCATCTTCTACAACAGATCCAGAATCTAAGAAAAGCAACAAAAAAAGATTGTTAATGTGTGTTTCACTGCATTAAGATACAGCTATTATTACGACCACAATGTAGGGTAAAGCAGCAGAGAGGTCACAGTTACCCATGTTAACCTATGTGGCAGTCTCTTATATAAGTAAGAACAGAGACTACTACATCAATCATAAGGTCTCAACATTAGAAAACAGATCGTAGTACTATGGTAATTACCATAGTAGCCTCTGGCCTTTTAAAAGGTTCATGCATGTATGTGTGTGTAGGAAAGGTGGAGGGGAGGAAATTCACATCACAGGGAGAGAATTACCTGATGCAGATTTCTTTGGAAGCTGGAGATGATGTGGAACAATAGTATGGTAAGAGCTGTAATCTACCTGAGGCATTTTTTTCTGAAGCTGCAAAAACAGTAAAAACAAACAAACAAATATACAGTGCTCGAACTCTAGTGGAAGAATATTTTTTCCATGTACAAGTATATGTTTATCACCATGGACACATCAAACTTACATCACTTAACTCACGATCAATCAATAGTTGTCGCTTCTCTTCTCTTGAAAGATGCACTTTGTTTTTCTTGTCTTCATCCTGCCTCATCTACAACATAAAATGTAAACAATTTCTTTGTCCAGTTTTAGGGAGAATGCAAAGAAATTTAAGGCGGATAATCTGCTCAAGGCAATTCATGTCCTGAATTCTTCAGAAATGAAAGAAAAATAAGACAAGTTGGATCAATCACGAAGTAGTTAAGGATAAATATTTTGTTTGTACAATTTTGTATTATCGCCATGATTGCCTGTTGTTTATAAACTTGACTGAACATGACTTGAATGAAAATGAAATACTTGAATAAACTTGAAAATCGTTACCTTTAATTCATGTTTCAGTTGAATGGCAATTCTGTACTTACCACAAGCGGTCTGTAGTGCTTTGGGGGAGGAGTACGCAAAGCTCGGCTAAAAGAAAACTTGCTGGAAACCGTGCTTGTATCTAAAGGGTGTTTCATGTCAGCAGCAAGATTACGTTTGATGCTCAGTACATTCAGACTGAAAATTAAATGCAATACAATTAAGCACAATAGTATCAAGTTAACATGTAGTTAAAGGAAATTTAACACAGTTAACAACTAGGAGCGCAGGTGTCGGTCAGCGTTCAGTGTGGTGGCTCAAGCGCAGTCAACCTTGCTTGCATCATCTCCATGTGCATAGGGGCCACTCTTTGTTTAACCTTTGGACAGGGTCCGAAATTGCGCCTTCCTGGTCGCCAATGCAACTAAAAATTTAGTCCTGGTGAGGTGACCAGAATTTAATAGTTGGTCGCCAGCTAGCGACTTGTAAAGTTAGTTATTATTGTGGACTTTAAGGTTCGGAGAAACTGATTACGAATTGAAACCTCGAAGCTATTTGCCAACAGATGTCTTACTTTTTGTCCTGGTGATATTTTTTAAGTAAAAGTGAAACGAATCTTCCTGTAATAATCAGAATAATACCTCCAAAACAGCTATGATCAACACGAGTTGAACGTTTCCAAGCGGCTATGTTGTTTTCAGCTGAATACGGTAAGTACATTATGTACTTTGTGGACTGGTACGAGTAATGTGGCACAGTTGTGGCCTGGTAGTGTCACAGTGATAATGTTTCGTGGTAGTTATCGGAAGAAAATAGAGTTTTGATATGATCAGTGCAGTTATGGGCAGACAGCTTTCTGTTCCTACGTTCTAGGTCAGACAGCTTTATATCTCCAAAAAGTAATTTGTGGAAAAAATAAGACTTCAATCGTACATGTATGGTTGCTTTCTGGTATCGGGAGCGAAAGTAGTGCAATTTTTGAGCATAAAAACGTCCATACCATGCATTTTTTATTCGTGTTTAAATTTTTATTTGAAAAATAGGGAGGGGAAATCTTTGGCGACCACAATTTGCCCTCTGGCTACCAAAAATTTATACTTGATCGTCAGATGGCGCCCGTATTAAAAAGTTAATTTCATCCCACCTCCCCTTTTTTCAGTGACAGGTGCCTGGTTCTGTTGGAGGGGGAAATCATGGTTGCAGGGGGGGTTGAAAGCCATGGGGGCGTAACTCTGTCTAGGGGCTGGCTTTGCCAAAAGTGGAAGCCCCTGGACATCCTGGACATCCACCTCCACTAAGCAATGTAGTAAATAAATACAAATAAAAAACAAAATGTTATGCAGTTTTTTTAATTGATGTCACAGTGGCTTACGTTTTACTCGCTTCCAGTGCTAGCTGAGTTTTTAGGCGACTCAGGTTTGCAGGGCCACTAAACACTCCTCTTTGGTTCAGTTCTAGAAACAAAATCAATAAGACACAATTTTTAAATTACAGGGACTAAGTCCATGGACTATGTCCACTGCCCAGGAAGTACATTCCACAAGGATGACAGGGGTGCTCACTGTAGTACCTTTTAGGGGTTGCAATTATTTTGTGGCTCTGTTACCACTTAGGGTGCTAAAACCTAACCAGACTGCAGTTAGAGCTGTTATGATGAAATGATGGGTACTATTGCTACTTTTTGTATCAATATACAACTTACTGTTAGCTTTGTCCAAGTACTTTGCAAAAAGTCCCTGAGTGATTACAACAATCTCAATTGTCAAACGTCTGAAAAAATATAAAATTAATAGTGAATTTAAGAGAGCTTTGATTCCACCTTAAACAAAGTCGACCTTTCTCAGAAAGGGATTGGCTTATTATTAGTGACAATTCAGAGAAACTCAAAATCTTAATCATAGCAAACATTTAAGGCAAGTAATGCACAAGAGAGAGATTTTAAATATCAATATTAACAAGCATTTGTATGGAAAATCACTGAACCGTGACTGCATACCACGAGCTTTTCCTCCAGTCCTATACAAATTCTTCTATTATATTATGCAGCTTAAGGAAATGAGTTACCCATTTTTTTCCAAATACTGTATTCCTTGACTATTTTTTGCCACCAAAAGGGGTTGGTTATTTTAAGGAAGGTGAATATTCGACGGAGGCAATTATTTCAAATAATGCTCAATGGAAGTTGTGCCCTAAATATTTTGTGTCATTATCCCGTTAAACTGTATAAAAAATAATCACCTCAAATAAATGGAACATGGGCTTTTCAAGTGTTCCAAATTTGGTCCCTTGATTAAATATTTTTTAATTCCTATATCCTTGGCATCAGAGCTTAAATTGCCACTGATCAGTTTTGCTGGATCAGACTCCAGCTTCAGCCTTATCCTTCACCGAAAGGGCTGGAGGGGAGGCCAATAAGGAGGCAATTATTTTAAACATTTCTGTCAAAGGGGGCGATTATTTGAGCGAGGTGAATAATCAAGGGACAGCTATTGTTCGAGGAAAGACAGTAATGATCTAGTAGTGCGCTTGCATATATCCACCACTTGTCTTCATGAAAAACTATTTCAATTTGTCGGCTTTTAAAGACTGCTACCAATACATGTATATAGATTTTAATAGTGTATTCAATCATAATACACCATAAACCTGACCCATGTACGTGTACCTTTGTAGTTCTCTGTTTTGCTGACCTGTCTAATAAAATGAAGCGAAATGAACATGCATCAGTTGAATATCAAGAATTGAGTAACTTTTTTTTACATAGTTTCCAATATTGCACAAGTTGAAAAATAATGGAGTATTGGGTATAATAACTATAGGTATATTAAATTTGAAGCACTTTCATCCACTGAAAAACTATTGATATAAAATTCCCTTTAAAAAAAACACAGGCATGGTCCTTACGCCCCTCAATGCCTGTCAACATTTTTTACAACAAACACAGTAAAATTAAAAAAGGAGAGGTTGTATTTTTAATGCTATAAATCAGCTACCAGGAATGGATCAGGAGGACCTCTTTGAACATCTCTCCAGATGTTGTTAAGCTCATTCATGAGAATTTCAATCTGTAGGGAAAACAAAGGATGATTTGACTCTTAAATGATCCTGCGTATATTAAAAAATAAAAGGCAAAACAGTATACTCCATTTTTTGTGGACTGGTCGGGGGGGGGGGGATTCTCCAAGTTTAATATTTATCATTTTCTTCATGGAAAAAAATTGGTGAAAAAAGGTTAACTAAAAAGGAACTTAAGGTACATTATGGGAATACATGTACCTGATCAACAAAAAGGAAGGTACAGAGTTCACATTCAAAAATAGAACCTTTTCTCCTCAACAATGTGTACTATATAATTATGGAGTCAGGTTGTGGGCCTACCAGTTGCTGCTGGTCATTAGATGTCAGTCCATGTATTCCATCTTTTGGTGATAACCTTGGACGTAGAATCTTGGCAAGGGCACTGAATGATGATGGAGGACATTTAACTGCATCCTAAAAAAAAATGAATAAATATACTGTAAATTTGTTCGGGCTGAAAGTGAAGACTTGGTGAAGTGAAGATTAATTTTCTGCTAATAATATCCTTTGAATAATTTAATCCTGAACTTAGAGACAAGGTTAACTTGCACAGCCCTCCTGGTCTAGCCGGGATTCACACCATCTCTTTGTATTGGTACATCAAATCCTGAACTGACGTAACAAGGGGAGTAATTTTGCTTTTAATTTATGAATTCTCCTAGCTACATGCAGTTGTAGAATGTAAATTACCTCAATGGGAGTGAGTGGTCTTTCAACTTCAGGGTTGTCATTGCCAACATCTGTTGAATTTGACAGTATTATTTTAAGTTAGTGATGAAAGTGTTCTATTTAGGTAATCTTTTTTTATTTTAACTAGGCTGTTCTCTAAAAGACATGTAAGGAGTCCATTGTCCTGAACCTGTAAATGGCGCCAGCAAATCCAGACAAAAACCATTCTGTGGGCTTAAAAAATTCATGCAAATGACTCTCTCCTCCATAGAGCCCTGGCTCTTTGTGTTTTAGGGAGTTTGGGGAGAGGGAAAAAGAAATTTTGTGCCAGAATATTTTCACTTATTTCTATTTTTTATGGGAATACCTTGCAGGAGCCTCTGCAGGGAGAGAGTGCAAACAAGCAAGGAGTAAGGATTGAGGAGTGATGGAAGGAGACATGGGTGGGAGGACAACAGACGTGCCCTCTTTACAATATATATTAACATGTTAACAGTAAGCTCAGATGCCAGCATTCAAAAGTACCACTCGCAGCAACTATCAGTTCATTTATGAGTTTACTGTAACCACCCAACCCATGATGTGAATGAAGTGTGAAGGTTGGCCACACCACAAGGGTCTACGTCCCCTACTCTTTTCGAACAGCGGTGTGGGTTAATTCTTTTATGTCCCACAAGAACAGATAAGTGAGACAGGACCTACAGTTCCTTGTCCTTATCTGAGAAGAAAGTCTAACTGTTTGCAGATGTCATAGCCTGTGAAAACATCCGTTTCTCCTCGCTCTTTGCCGCCGGGGACATTTCATGAGAAGGGACGTCTGCGACTCTGCTGCAGAAATTCCATACTGATTACGCACACCAACGTTTACATAACAAATCCAGTAGTCATGGGTTTTTAAATATAAATTTGTCCAATTTTACATGTCTTCTGGTCGATTTTGGTAAAGTGTTGTGTTCATCTGCCAACGAGCTCCAGCAAAACTCAAACGCTTCTTCTAGAGAAGACTATATTCCACAAATATGGACTGTTTTGTTAGAGATTCTTCGCGTTTACTGATGACGTAAAATCTGTCTGGAATCCGGTCAAAAGTGCTGATTGGTCGACGGAGTAGTTACACTGTTTTAGCTCTTGCTTACGAATGACAGAATTTCTGTCGCTGAGTCGCAGACGTTCCTCTCCGCGAAATGTCCCCATTGGCGAACAGCGAGGAGAAACGGATGTTTTCGCAGGCTACGGATGTCATTACAAAGGCAGTATTTTCTTCTCAGTTATTTAAAGACCCTGAGGGCTCGTCTGGCCGGTGTTCGAACCCACAACCTCCCGCTCAGCAGAGTCCGGCACTCTCCCAACTGAGCTTAAAACAGGTGGCAGTTCTGTCAGGGTAAAATACTGATAAGGAACATGGCCTTGAAACAGCAACATTAGCCTGAGAGATGATGACAAAAACACAAAGATGGGACAGTGACAAAGACACTCACAAATAAAGCATTAAAATTGCAAGATGGATATGAGATCTTCTCCAAACAAGTGAAAGAATAAGTTTTCAAATTCAGACAAAGGACATGCACAACCCTCCTGAGAGACCCTCTCCCCCTCCCTCCCTCAACCCTCTCTGCATGGAGACAAGGTGATTTTTTTAGAGAGACTTAAAAGAAGCTTATGTTTAACATTAGTAATGTAAAGCATGGCTTTTATTCATAAATTATGTCCCTCATAAGTAAAAACTTCAGTGAATAATTTAAGGCTATAAAATTATAACACGTATCAGTCAAAATAAAGTTAATAGCCTGAATAAAGTATGTATGTATGCTATAAATTCTCTCTAAAGTTACAGCTGTAATGCCACTTTAATAATCAACAACCAATGTAATGAGGGGTAACTCAGTTACAATGCAAAGCTCCAAGTCTCACTAACATGTACCTGTGTTTTCCTCTGGTTCAAAGAGACTTAAAGGACCCGCAAGATGTGTAAATCTGGCATGAAAGTCTCTCTGTTAATGAAATCAAGAAACTAATGTCAGAAAATAAGCAAACTTTACTTTTCGTTGTACAAACCCTCATTTATTACAAGTGAGCTCATGCATTTTAATTCGCCCGTGCAAGAAGCTGAAACGAGAACAAAAAGTCAAAATATTACACTTACAGAAGTGAATGGAGGTCTTTCTAGCTGATAAAGCCTCTCTGTCTTTGACATTATTGCACTACTTTCAAAGACATCTCGATTTTCAAGATGGCGACTATCACTCGCTATGGCAACAAAAAACTGAGCAATTTCAGACTCCTCAGGGTAGGGTGGAAATGAAATAGGAAATTCCTTGTGACTATGCAGGGAGGGGAGAGGAAAGCTGTCTGCGAAGAAGAGGGAAATGTAGTTCTGCTTTATTCAGTTACCTCTTTTGTTTTGAGGAATATCATGAAATTGAAATGACATTTTTATTTGCGTGAACAAACGCTTAAAATAACTATTTCATAATAAGGTTAAGATAAGAACAACGCAGGCTCGAGCAAGCACAATGACATCATTCCCGGAAAGGTGCAATATGGCGGACGACAATCTTGTAGTCTAAGTTCGCCTGTTACTGTTTGGTTCATCACAAGCTGGCTAAATGGCGTCGTTTCAAAAGACATTTAGAAAGAGCGGTAGCCGTAAGTTTAACTCATTTCTTTTTCCTTCTGCACACTATTCAACCGAAAAGATAGATTTCCTCTATTTCATGGTTTCACGTACAGACAATCGTCAATCTAAATATGCACGAATTTGCTGACCGTCTTCCATTCGCTATCAAAATATTTTTTTGCATAGCTTTAGTACGGCCAATAAAACTATTAGCTTACAACAATGTAATATAAGATAGGAGGTTTATGACATTTGACGTTCTCGGTTAATCGAAGATTTGATGTTTTATTTGGTTCCATCCATTTCACAGATCATGCGGAGTTTCATTCGCTACAAGGGGTGGAAATTAAAATCGGAGAAAAGTTCAGACCACCGAAAAAGGTAAAGTATGAAAAGATCTTGTTCTTAAATCTTTCCTTTCCATTATTTTTTCTCTATCTAAGCTACTTAATTCAAGCTTATTTATCATGTACAATAGGTGGCTTTGTTTTTAACAGAACTTTCTTGAATCGATCCCCAGGTGTATCTTTCTATTATCAATAATGTATTACAGTTATTTACAAGGTTATAGACAGGAATTTTTAATGGCAAGGACTTACACAGGCATGTTGCTTAGGTTTCAGTTTTGCAATGGGAGCTACTCCGACGTGGGCTCTTGAAATTGCGCTAGGGGTCACCCCTTTACTGCCTTTGAGTTTCGGCCATTGACAAAACTTGGATAGGATCAGATCAGATCCAGCCGTGAACCCTTAATATTGTTGTTGACAGAGTTACAGGGGTTGATCCAGTGTGGTCAAATCCAAGTTTTGTTGTTGCCTTTTGAGTTAGCCATTTATTTTTTGTCTCTGAATGTGGCAATGAACACTCAGGGCTGTTGCTAAGATTTTAAGATACCAGGTTTATGCAATTAGTAGGGAATTAAACAGCTTGGATGTTTTGTTTTTTCGTTCATTTTCCCTTTTGTTTCTTATGAAAGTAGCCAGGAGTTACCCTTGTAGTAGTTGGAGGAAATCCCTAGGCCCCCAGCCCCTGCATGACAGCCCTGAACATTAACACATATAATATGTGCATTTGTATAATAATACATAATGTAAAACTATTTTCAGGTAACTCTGCCTGTTGGATGGCAACAGAAAGATCCCTCAGGTGTACTAAGTTTAACGGTAAGTTGACATAAATGTTTTTTAAATGGAGAATAAAGCTTTCTTTAATTTTAGACTGTAGTTGACAATGTGGACAGATTGTAGATAACAACAATAACACTTTAGAATAGAGAAAGGTTTAATTCTTTTATTTTTAGTTTTGTAAGCCCACTTAAAGATATTCTCAATCTGTAATGTTTGACAGTATTTACACTGTATGTTTGCTGGTTATAGGAGCTGACTTGACTTCAACTCAATATTATACACTATCTTTATGGTCTTTTTTAGTATGACTTCAGCCGTGAAGAAGATGTTGTTTCCAAGTCTGAGGCACTAAAGGCCTCAAAACAGGAACAGCCAGAAATTTCTTCCACCGAAGCTCAAGTTACAAGTGCATCTGTGGACACTACAGATACAGCCACAAATCATAACTCAGTTTTTTCTAATGTTGGAAGTGAAATCCTTCAACCTGTTGTGGCTCCTGGATTAGGACATAAGAAGAAAGACAGTTTTGGTGGGAAAGGCAAAAACGCATTTGATATTTCGGACTTTGAAGGTGATACTTCAACTCCATTTGAGCTAGTAGAATTACAGACAATAAATGACATGGATGAACTTAAGAATGTCCTTCAACCCAATGCTTTACCAGCAACTACATCAGAAAATTCAGCACCCAGGATGGCTTCTCCTTTGGCAAGTATAAACAATGTATCTCCAACAAACAACGTGTCTCCCTCAGGGAATTCATTAGTTGATATTTCTAGTCTTCATATCGCTAGTGAGGCTACAGCATCTCTTTCTTCTAGAGGCATGCCTGCGACTAATGTTGGTACAGAGGCAAGTTCAATATTGGTGGATATTGGAGATTCACAACCAACTAGTGTAGCTCCTGCAGCTGCAGTTCCTGCAAGTAATACTTTTCAAAATACTTCATTATCCAATACAAACAGACCTTTTTCAAGAGGAGGGTTGTTGCCACCTATTGGTCAGAGTTTTCCTTCACCAGTTCCTCAACAACAGCAAGGACAACAAACATTACCAATGCCTGTATATAGTAGTACAACTAGTAGTTCACTACCAGGAGGAATAAATAGCTTTCCAAGTAGTGTTGCTCCTAGCCAAGGACAGTATCCAGGCATGAATAGCTGGAATAGCAACACACAATACAAACAATATGGTGCACCTACTACTATAGATCAACAGTGGAATATGCCAAGATCTCCCGAAGTCCAGGTTGGTTTGGTTGTGTGTCTGTTAGCTGGAATATTTAATATTTTCATAACCTCACATGTCTATGATAATGTAGCTGAACTTTCTAGTATTGGTAATGATCCAGAATATTTGCAGTCAAGGTTCAGATGATGACGCTTGCTGAGGCATAATGGAGGTCATTATTTTCAATCTCTTGCTAGAGACAGGACAGTCTGCAATCACCCCTCCCCCCTCTCCTCTTCTCTACGGGTGACTTGGTTCTAGGTCTTATGAATTCTGCTAGTGCAAACACAGCAAAGAGGGTTAATTAACATAGAAACAAAAGGCTTAAATTTTGCATCTTAACATCTGTTTGAACCCTGACGTTTTCAACATTAAGTTGGAAGTAACAAGTGTGAGTATTTTGCCGTCATTTTCAGATACCCGGAGGTCTCTTTCCTTCTCCTTTGCCACCTATTGGAAAGCCATGTGATGAAACTCTTAGCAGGCAAACCTCTTGTCAATCCTCTCTGGCTGATCCCTGGCCTGTCCTAACAGATAAGGAACAATCTTATGCCAGTACTATTATTAGCATGGGTTTCCCAGCTCCTCGGGTGGCTAGAGCTGTACAGAGACTTGGAACTAATGATAAGGAGGTAAGCAGGCAAACAGGGAGTGAGGATTGAGCACAGGCAACAGGAAAGTAAACGAATGAAAAGAACCAAACAGAGTATTGGAAATGAAGTTACTGAGAGCTGGGCTGGGATTCCAGTTGGTTTTGTTCCCATTTTTCATTTTCCCATTCCCTGTGCTTGTTCCCCTTTTTAGCGACATGGTCAGGTACAATAAGACAGTTTCAGCAACTAGTCTCGATGTGAATTGAGGTGTGTGGTACAGTGGAACCTGGATTTAACGAACCTCAATATAACAAAGTCCTCGATATAACAAACGATTTTATTTAGCCCGGAAATAGGAAAATATATGAAAAAGAACCTTGATATAACAAAATCTCTTTATAGTGAACAAGTTTTGTCAGTCCCTTTGCCCTTCGTTAATCCAGGTTCTACTGTAAGTGGTACTGTCGATAGTAAAATACCCTCGCCCTCACACTTAAGAAGTGAAGACAGAAAAGTAATGTTATTATGATAGGTATCTTCACAGACAATGATTAATTTAAGCAACTAAACCATCAATTGTGTGTTTGTTTGTTTGTTTTTTTGTTTGCCTGTATGTATCATTTTGGAAAGAACTAATAATTTATTGTTTATACAAAACATTAGAATAAAAAGGAAATTTCCACAGGCAACAAACATTCACGCTGTAATGCATCTCAACAGTCACCATCAGCGTCATTGAGTGGTCTTGATTCAAGGTTTCTGATACTGAAATATTGGACTGTACATATGAGACTCAAATAATAGTAATTTATTGTAATAATTTATTGTATCTCATTCTTCAGAATAAATTGTAGAAATTATTTTAGTTCACTTGAATGGGACTGTACAAGTGTTTTAAAAGTTTTTGGTTTATTGATACAACACAAATATAAATATCATACTTACCAAACTATTGACTGATCAAACAATTTTTGGGGGGATGGAGGAGGGGGGGGGGTTGAGGGATGTGGTTTAAGAAGGCAGATCCCTCCATAGGGGTGGAAGTAGGGTGCTGGAGTGGGGTGTGGTTGGGGGTGGATAGAGTCAATGAATTTACAAATTACTGTAGAATTTTGGTACAACATTTATGAAAACAATTTTGAGAATCTTAAAAGAACTTCCTTAGTCCAATTTCTCACTGTGCATCTAAGGTATGAGAAACACAGCAGCCTGAAATTTCTACTATCTTGCAGGTGTTTGAATTTCTAATTACCGTAAATGAACTGTGTGAACAAAACTACCCAGCTGACTCTGTGGAAGTTGCTCTTGTATTTAACTCAGAAAAAGCTAAGGTAATGTTTTACATTTGTTGATTTGTAACAGATGAATTCCTTATACTTTTCAGTCAAATTGGCTGTAATGCACTTATACTGTAGCAGTTTTGGGTCTTTCTGGCAGAAAACATGTAAAAAAGCTGACATAATTTTTCTTTACACATAATAATAGTGAAAACTGTGTTGATTTTAAAATTTATCTTATGTTATTGTAGGCAGTGGAATTTCTTGAGTTGGTGAAAACTTTTAAAGAATATGGTTTCAAAGAGGAAAATATTCATGAAAGCTTAAAAGCTGCTGATAATGATAGAGAAAAGGCTCTGGAGTATCTAATGACACTATCTTCTACATAACAACTTCTGCTGAATGGATTGTACAGCTGCTGGAGGTAATGAATGTATGAATGTGTTATTCTAGAAAAGAAAAAAAAACTAGTTTGTACAAGTTTACACATGCAGCAAGGATGACAAAAAAAAAGAACAGCCACAACAATAACAAGTAAAGATTGATTATCATTAGATGAGAAACCTTTCTCCTTGTAATACATGTATTTAAACTGAAACTGTAGACTGTTCACATGTCTCTGTTGTTTTTTTTTGCGTAAGATTTTCAGGATGGAGCGCTTGGTTCACTTACGTACCTAGGGATGGGCATCAGGGTTTATCCAAGATGCTGCCCATAACACAAAGCACTTGATCTTGACGATCTTACTGGAAAATAGGAGACTGTGAACAGTCTACGGAAACAGGTGTTTTAGTTACTGTATTTACATTGACAAAATATAATCCTAGTCAGTTTAAATTAGAAGGGGTGGGGGATATTAATGCGTAACTGCTTGTTACTTCATACTTCAACAAACTTCAGTGGTGGCTCAGTTTTCATCTAGCTGTAACAACAAGGTTTTTTCTTTTTTTTTCCCAGGAAGACAGTTCACCTGGATTTTACCAGCGGGGAGAAAAATTTAAGATGCATTGTTGCTAAAAATAATAATACTCTAAAAGACTATGTAATAATAATTATGGTTATACATACATGTAATACATGTACATAATCAGCTGACCTTATGGCAAGATGCAGTGCACTGTGTTTTCTTGTACCACATCAGTCAATTACAAATGTGCTGATGTTATGGAAGGCTTCATTTGCTTGTGCCCTTGAAGGCAGAGTGATATAGTGTTCAAGAATGAAGGTTGTTGCACCTTTCCTGCCACTTAGACCTTGTTTCAAATCTAAGGCAGGAAATTCCACTTTTCTCTTTTTCTATAGGAAAGACAAAAACGCAAAAACAGCTAGAGAGAGACTAAAAAAACGCTACCGATGTCTGTTGGTAAACCCAGCTAAATTACTCAAAGATAACCTTCCACTTTGAAAAGAAGGACTCTGCAATAAGGTCTTACTTCTGTTCACACAAGTGATCTCCTTAAGGTTGTAAGGCAAGCTGGTAGATCTCAGATCTTGAGAGGCAAGGCTGTAACATTAGTGACAAGTCCTGTACTTAGTGAATGGTTTAGGTTGTCCTATTTTAGTTTTTGTGACACCCGAACTTTTTTCTTTAAAGTTTCCTTGGTAGTTGTTATAAAAGTTTTGACCCATTGCAATGTTGCAAGTGTTTTGAACAACAGGTGGACATCTAGACTGATTAGCAAATCTCAATTTTATTTTAATTTTATGAGACAGTACATCCATGGGGCAAATAAAAGCTTTGAAGTGATGGTTTCACATTAAATACAGGCATGTACCTAGGCTGGCTCGTTTCTGAGGCCGCGGAGTTCATTTCAGCTGCTTTTCTTAAGTGTGTCATTTTTGTTGATATTTTTGAGGCTCTTCGATCGTTTTGGTAACGACTCCACTCTCTTTCCACCTTAAGTTTTGCAGCTCCACCGTGCGTTTATTCAATTCTGGGGGGCACCCAACGAGAATATAGCTCAAAACCACTTAAACATTGTATTTTACAACGTATTTTAGTATTTAAACGGTAGATATAGGCATATTCTCATCCCCCAAATTTTGTTATCTGTTCGGATTTCCCAGCTGACAGTCTAGTGATCCGAAAATTATAGTGATCAAAACTTATCTTTTCGAAAATTTCAGCCAGAACAAAGCCTCCCGAAAATTCTAGGTGACCTTTTTACGGTAAAAATCCGTTAAGAATGGGCAATTATACCATTTTTTAGATGTTCGAAAATCCTAGGAGAGGCAGGCAAAGCAAGGAATTTTACAACAAATGTTCCGAAAATTCTAGATCTTAAATTGTCTTCCGAACAGATGTTTTCCGACAATTCGGGTGCCCCTGAATTCTCCGAGTAGAGAAGGTGGCGGAGCACTTATTAAAAAGAGGGAGGATGCTTATTTCGTTTTTTATTTTTAATTTCGGTCTTAAAATGCCATTGTCGTCTTTATTTTCAAAAAACACACACACAAACTGTAACGGTTAACTGGAGCGTACAACTGTTAGAATAAACACAATTGTCTGTGTAGTCGCTCTCAAAGTCCTGTTTCCTCTTAGTTGCTCTATGCTCTGGTATTGAATTTTTTCCATTTTACTTCTATGGCATATTACATCAAGGATTTTCTCTTTCTTGGGAATGGTAGGGGCGCTGTTATGTAGGGAGAGCTTATTTTCTCTTTTCAACCTTGAGGGAGCGCTAGTTGGAGATTTGACGGTAATCCTGAATTACTTGGTTATATAAGAATAATTCTTATTCCCTTCCTCTCTTGAGAGAAAAGCGGCAGGCCACGCCCCTTGTTGGGTATTAACGGCTACAGATCACCCAAAGGACGACTACGTACAAGTTTATTACACTATCCAGGCAACTAAGACATATAGACAGTATCAAACACATTGATGAGACAAGTCAGAGGTTACTGCTTTTCTACTCCGAGTTTATTTAAAAGTTTACGATTACATTTCTTATCGCATTCCTCATTAGTTTTGCCTTAAAATCCAAGTTTTATGTAAGACAAAAAATAGCTACAGGTTGTATATACTGTTCTGAGGAGAAAACGTTGCGGCAAAAAATAGTTATAGAGAAAAGATACATAATGTACAAAATGAATCTACGGGTGGAGTCGATCCTTCACTTGTTCGTCGCGTTATTGAAAAGTATATAAAAATTTTAAAACAATAGCCAAAAAATGTATCAGTAGATACATTGAAGGGGATTATAACGGCTTATTTTTATTACAGATTAGTGTCAACAGATGTCTGTAAATCTCTCTCACCACATTTCTTGTCACGGGTGAACAGGCTTGAACTGTTTGGAGGTTTTTTTGTTTTACAGCTGGCCTTGGAATTGCGTGTTCTCCCCTAGAGAGCTGATAGCCGAGCGCAACTTCAATCGATGGACTCGATAACACTTGAAGTCACCTGAATAAACGAGTCTAAGTAAATAATAAGTCATTTCTGCACGCTACACAAAAGCAAAAGATCTGAACGGGGGATGGCTCGCTATACGATCAGTAGGAACAGCAACTCAGTTAGCGCTTTTAATCCCGTGTTGTCTTCACGAAATTCACGAGAGAAACCTTCCTCGCCTTTCGACGAATTAATGGGAAGACACTCCTCATACACACAGCCAAGTGGTCCTCCTCTTCTGAAACTGGAAAGGTTCGTAGAAGACTTCTTCAATAAAGAGCCTGAACTCAATTCCCGGAAATCATCGCTGGCTAAATCTGGTAATCCTCGCGAGGGATTAGCTGTTCCTTCAAGAGCAAACAAAAGAACAATATTTTCAGAATTTCAATGTGAAACTCTTGAAAATAATTTCAAGTTCAAACAACATTTATCGCCATCTTCTGGGACGTGGCTCGCCAAGCTTTTAGGCTTGAGAAAACAGCAAGTGGTTACCTGGTTCCAAAATAAGCGAGCGCGCGAGCGGAAACGAGCAGGGCTTAAACTCCCGCGACACGGGAAAAAGTGCATATTTAGTACAAACGTCGAAGCCGCCTGCAATTGCAAGAATGTAGCAACTAACGCCCTGGTCTTTAACTCCAATAACTGTTGTGTTCCGCTATGAAACTCCCCTATTGATGGATATTTGCTCTTCTGAACCCGAACAAGACATAATATTAGAGGATAATCTCTTTTGGGAGACACTATTGATGATGCCTACTTTCTTAGCAGGCCTACTTTAGTACTTAAAAACAACCTTGTGAGCTCCGCTGTTTGCAAAACGTTCCACTGCAATTTTTGAGTCTTTTCCACCTCTGTTTTGAAGATTTGTTCTTGCACTGATTGATTTTGTTGCTGTTACAAACGTTGAATTGATTTTTTTGTGGCTTATTACCTCTTAGAAGCGAAGCCACTGTGTTATTTCCAAATAGTTTTCATTCTAGTCAGAATGTTAATACGGTTGTCAAAGCACTCATAAGCTTCATTACTTGCCAACTAAACGCGTTAAGGTGCTTATTGTTGAATGCTAACGACTCAACCTTAAGAGTTCTCGTTGAGTTTATGTAATGTTTTCTCAGCAAACATGTTAATTGCTCATATAAAGTACTATTAGTTGCGGAAAACTTCGAATAAAAAGCAATGTTTTTGTGTCATTCAACATTTTACGCTGATCGGTCGATGTTTTTTTAACCTCTGACTGGAAGTACAGGGAATCACATCCGACTGAACAGAAAACGCATTCAATATCAGCTCGCTCGTCACTTAAGCTGACGTTTCTAAAGCGGGCTTCCGATAATGACTACCAGGATCTGTTAAAAATACGCTGTTCGATAGAGCTGTGGCCCAAGTTCAGAGTTAACTTCGTCATCAGATGGATATTGTCACAGTATTTGCCACTTTATAAACTAGAGTTTATTTTCGTATTGTAAGACCGTTGACAGTATTATATCAACACAGAAAATCTAAGATTATAAAGCACGTGCTTACCTCACCTCCCCCCTAAGAAAACGACCTAGATCGTATCTAAAGTGTATATTTAAAAACTAACGTAACAACGATCAACGTCCATAATTTTTCAAAAACTTGTTAAAATTTTACGTTCCAAACTTTCTTAATCTGCTGTTGTGGTTGTTGGTTTTTTCTTTGACTGCCGATTCTTTAATAAACAACAATAGATTTCCTGAGGAAGATCAGAATACGTTCATTTATAATTACAGGTCAAGAGCACTTGTTTTTAAAGATAAAAGTTTGTTTTCCTTTCCTCACGTTTCGTTTTACCTAACATCGTTTATTTTCTTTGCAATTAGTTTACGGTTAGTTATCTCTCTTTTTAATCGGAATCTTTCCAGAATCTTTCAGTAGTTCGAGTCAGTGTGGAGTATAATATAGTGAAAACCTATGTATTTTCACTGTATTAAAGTATCTCGAGAAATGGAATCTTTCCCACACGTTACTGTTTCAAGTACCTTCAGCAAAATCCTCAAGATACTTGGTAAGTCGCAATGTATTTCTAAAATACTATCCAGACTAACCTGAGGCGATTTGTGACTTATCTTTCAGATACTTGAGTCCCTTTGGTCGTTTACCATTTGTGGTGTCTAGAGCGCTACTTTTCCATAGTCGCGTTTTGAATGACTTCATACTGAAAGGCATCTGCTCTCTCTCGCAGGCTAGTCCCTTTCGATTGGCACCGCGTCCTCACCTAACCGTTTTTTGTTTGAAACGGAAATTTTTTTCTTCCACTTGGCCTACTGTCCACACGTTTCAGGTGCGGTGAAAAAGGCCACCAAAACGAATCTTTTCAGACTTTTGAAAATGCCGTTTTGAAAAAAACGATTACGTCAGGGTGTTGGATCAGTACCAGTAAATGCGCATGCTCCCATCAATTCACGTATCTGTAAAAATTATAAGGAGCCGATAATAACACAAAGAAGTCTGATTACATTTTTACGGTTTATTTGGCTTTCACGAGAAATGTAAATTGAGTTGGATGTATAAATCAGGATCTGCATTCTTTTCTTGTACGACAACGACAAGGTCAAAAAACAATTGGTTTTTAAGGGCAACACAACAGCTGTGTGCCTGCATCATACTTTTTAGCACATTCCTTTGACGTTCATTGCATCACTACTGGGTGAAAAGTCCTAGTTCGACGTTTAATGGAGGAAGTGAAGACGAACATATGACGACAATTTCTAATTTTTTTGTTAACCTAGATATAATCCTTAAGGATTCAACTCCAAATCGTCTACATTTGACATATTGACCCGGTCAAAATAGACCCAATATGGTTTAAAAGGACGCAAATTCATTTTTTTTTTGGCGAGGTTTGATTGTCGTCCGTGTGGTATTCAACACAAGACCAACCTCAATCCCAGGTTTCTCTCGCTCCGGGAGAACGAGTACCTTCTTGGTACTTAATTTCTCGGGGTTTTATTTTCGCGATTTTAACAAGTAAACATGACAAAAAGGGCATTAAATTTCGCGATTTAAGCGTTTTCAACTTCATTTTCTCTTTTTTAAAAGTCTGAACCTTTAAGAAAATTAAATGAACTGGAACAAGCAATATGTGTGTAATCTTTGCAAACTAACGTCATTACACAACGGAAGACACAAAATGGAGCTTACCAGTAAAACCAGAACGCAATTTCGTTTATGGGTATTAAATTTCGCGAGGATTTATTTTCGCAATTTTTTTTACAATCGCGAAAAACACGAAATTAAAGAGCCGCGAAGTTAAGTAGCAATAAGGTGGGAGAGAATCTGGCCAGTTATATGATAGCCATGAGGGCTGAGAATGAGACAAAATTAAATTACGTAGGAAGACAATAGTATTTTATTTTCAAATATTTAGGGGTTTTTGCACTTTGGATCTAATAAAACGCAAAAAAATTCTTAACGTAATTTTTTAGAATCGCGGAAAAAATAATTCCAGTAAGAAAATCCAGACTGGAGAAATCTCAAAAAACTACTTCCACAAAATATAAAAAATCACCCATTCAAAACAGTTTAAAACTCATTAGCAAAAATAATACAAGTAAAAAGAAAAGGAATATTTAGATTTGACATGCAAAGATGATTGCAAATTAAAGTTCTTAAAGTAAAATTAAAAACGAAAATACCACTAATACCGAAAAGATTGTTCTTCTGCTCTGGCAAAGATTCCAAGCCTCAGAGCAAAAAATTATAACAAATTCGAATGTTTCGTTTGAAACGCTCTTACTTCATCAGCGAGAATCGCTTACGTTACTTACTTGTATCCCAAGAGAGGGATATAAAAGATTCTTTTTTTTTCTGCTCTGAGCTTTGGAATTTGTGTTAGTGTCTTGGTGTTGCGGTCAGACGGGTGCAATCACCAAATGACGGAATACAAAAAAATTGAAAAGACACTAAACGATACCCACACCACAACAGCGAATCAATAAAGAGAAACACCCGAATTTGTTGTTTGTCTTACAATTACATATAGTCCATAGTGACCACGCAAAGTGCAAATGAGCCCGTAAGCCTGGTCAACGGGCTGGTTTATGGGTAGGGGTACATTAAAATTACCATATCTGAAGTACTTATGGGTTCATGTGTAAAGTTCTTCCAACTTTGTTTTTTCCACCCTCTTCTATCCTATAGCTAATAAATCTTCCGTACATATGTTGAGAAAGCTTAAGTTCGTCTTTTTTTTAGTCCTTTTTTATTTAGAAGTACGAAAAATCGAAACTAAGTGCCCTGTTCATTATCTACGGTAACGAATAGAAAGTATTTCTGCTTGTTTTGAACGTCTTCTTTTAAATTTGATTTGCTTGCCTGTATGACACAAGCTGAATCCTCACAAGAGAGTTATTCTCAAACGAAACTATTGGCTGTGTAACATGACCTTGCTATTTTTCATTCCCCGCGTCATTTTTTTAGCCGGCCAGTTGATTCATAGAAGATTACCACTGGGCGCCATAAGAATGACGTACAAAGCGTTGCTTGTGATCGCAGATATAATAATCCACATGAAATATTTATTGATGACGCGTGAGGCAAATTTCCATTCCTCTCGAAGTGCGTTCTCCAGTTCCTCCTCCAGTAATTTTTTCGTCAGTGTACAGTCATTTTTATGGTCACTAAATTTGTCACGGGATTCGTGGCTGTTTAGTAAAGTGGCAGTGGGCCCGTGGGAAGGCAGAGACATTTCTGGTATCCAGTTGACTGCACACTCAAATGCCATTGTATTGGAAGCAGATTTTAATTTTCTTTCCAGTTGTTTTCTCTTCTCTTTAATTTGATTCCATTCACTGTGCAATCGAAGGGGTTTGGAGCCCCAGTGGCATACGAAACGCCTGACCCAGTGGGGTAATGGGTATGGAGACTGGTGGAATAACGTAAGAACAATACACGAGAAAACAAGCGACATAAAAATGTTTAGCATAGTGAGCCCGTAGTATACCACGATCAGCGGCACTTCGGACGTGGGCGGAAGTGAATCGGACAAGATAAGCTGTATGATACTTAACGACAACAGCACGGTTATACCAACACCCATGCGCTCTCCTGTCTCTGATGGCAAATAAAAAGAGAGGATTGTCAATGCCATCATAATCAAACAGGGCATGAAACAGTTCAACACATAATAAAGCGATCTTCTCTTGATGTGTATGTCGTATGTGAGGAACACGTACGGATGAGGACAGCAGCGAAACTTGGTCTCGTGTCTTCTGGAAGGCATGCTCTGAAGAGTCCATTCTCCGTTCGGTATAAATGAACTGATGTCGCCGTTTCCCTTACTATTGAGATCCATTTCATAGATATTGTAGGCCCAGGAGCCCAATTTGAGTGTGCAGACCTGAGAAAGTACAAGGGAGCAAATTAATTGCAGACACACACTAGCGCTAGTCTGATATCCCCTCATACTAAGCGTTATCCCTATGAAAGAGGAAGTGCCTGGATGATAATAGGGGTTAGTTTCTAAACTCTGTTGAGCGGCGTCAGTGTGGGAGTGAAAACTGATTGTGATGATAAAATGAGTGGATGAATTAGAATAAATTGGCTACCATAAAGCAAGTAGTCGATGTGTAAAGGAATGCATCCTTCCCTTTTTAACGCGCCTTGTTCCAAACAATTCGCTCGTCACCAGGACTTTTTCCTTAAAAAATGGGAAAAGGTAAGGGGAAAGGCAAGAGGAGGGCCGGGGAGCCTGGATCTCCCCTTTTTCTTTTAAGCAACGTATTTATGAAGCGGTTAACATCTAAAGATACTGTGGTACATTGTCGATTGCCGATTTACTTCATCAAATGAATCCCAAATAAAACTAAAATCTAGCTTTTCTTGGGATGGTACTAAGTATATGTTTTTTTTAAATTGCAAATTTATTAACCTTGACCGTGTCGACCTTGGGATTTGTACTGGTGGTCAAGGCTAAGAGAAATGTCGATAAGAAAGTAAATTTCTGACATAACAATCTTTGTTAGTCTAAAATATTGAGACCACTACCCAGATGTGCTTTGTCTAGTTCAGTTGTGTGAGGTAAACAGGACATTAGTTTCAGTTGATTTGCTATAAAGGGCATTCAAATCTGTTGGCTACTTCGTCTTTTCTTCTTCTTGTTAACTTTTGAGGCCAGGCCAAAGTTGTAGCTCTAGTTGTGGTTTGAAGATTCGACCTAAGTAAGGAACATTGGCCGTCAACCACACCTTCATTCCAAAGGAACTCAGTTTAGCTGTATCCTCTTTTTAGTTTATCTGTATCCTCGCGCTATTTCTAGACTTGTTCACGAACCTCTCGCAAAGCGTATTACATATATTAAGAAAACCGAGACAAGAATAATAAACAAGCTGTCTACTACATTAGATATCTAGAGTCCTGGTCAGGGCGCGCAAAATACATACAAAAGAGGAGAGACGGCCCATTTTTCCCGCCGCCACCGCCCCCTTTGCCAAGTCGCGCGCGTCTTATTTTTGCTTTGCTCGTTTAATACGTCCCCACTATACTATCTTGGAGCCTGGCACAGGCTAGTCCTGCAAGGGCGTGAACTTGGCTTCCTCACGCTCAGCAGACTGGTGCTCTCCCAACTGAGCTAACCGGGCGGCCGGGCTTGCTTAAATTGCTCCCAATTGCCCCCTAAATTACTTAGAGCTCCTGTTCAGTACTGATTTGGTGGGTTACCTGATCATCAAAAGGAAAATTGGTGACATCCAGTTTGCAAGAAGATTTGTAAATAGTCGGAAAGAATCGTGAGATGTTTCCATCAGAGGATATCGTCAGACTGTGGTAAGACTCCTTGTCGATATTATAATCATCCTTTGCACTAGACGAAAACAACAAGCGACAGAATTAACTACTCCCAAGAAGTTTATTGAGTGTAAAATATAAGACAGTTCTCAGTCTTTACATGATGATAAATTTAATTCCCCCCTCAAATAAAACGTCGCCCTTAATAGTTGTATCCAAAGTGACCTATTAGCAGGGTGTTCCCCACAGTAGCTTTGGATTCACAATGCTTTTTGCAAATCTACTCATAGGGATCAATATTTCCAATATTCTCAACTCCATTGTCAATAGTAAAACGGAGAGATTTGGCTTCCAACCGTCGGGTATCGAAGAAAACAAGTATGAAAAAACAGAAACAACAAAGGCAACAATAAAAACAGGACTATGGTTTAACAAACCTTGACAAGGACATTTTTTGAAGCCACGAAACACGAGAAAAACATCAGCCTTCACAACAAAATTTGCCTGGAATTCTCTTGTTAGCAACATAGGTACTAATAACAAGTGAACTGACCAATTTAGTTATTTATAATCACCTTAAGAAGCACGTGTTCTATACATACTTGTTGTAAAGAGTTATGTCCGGAAGCCATAAATGACTGGCTTGAGTCACAATAGATGTCACGTCATCATAATCAGAAGCATTCCAATGAAGTCTGTGGTCACTCCAATACTATAGATTTAAAGATAAAACATTTACAGTCAATAAGCGGACTATTATGTTGCATCAATAAAGATTTGAACCTGGAGATGTCTTGTTTAAGTTTAATCAATGGACAAAGAGGCTGATATTTGTTTACTTTCACTCCTGCTTTCTCCTTTACTAATTATTGGAATTCTTTCCTCGTAGTCTAGGTGAAATTTCCCCCTTAGTTAACAAATATAGGGGTGGAGTCTGCTCCCGTCGAATCTGAAAGCCTAGTAGAAACAAAGCCAAAATCCAAGCTATGGTGTTACTATTGTGATCAACCCATTTCAACTAAACGATTGCATTAAGTACTATTTAACTCTTTGTATTTTACATAAAGAAATCTGATTTTATGCATCTGAAGTTTTTCCTTTAATCTGTGTGAGCAGTTAAAAGGGGGACAACTATTTTATTTAAGGATCTGTTAAACTAGGAAAGAGCATGTACTCTAACCATATTTCTATGAAGGGGTTAGAAAAGAAGCAGTACTATGGTGCTACGTCGGTAGTATAGGTGATTGAAACGCATAATTTGGATTTATCAACTGATTTCATAAAAGTCAATATATTTCCCACTGAAATAGACTACATGAGAAAGTGACGTTTGATTGCTAGCCCTTTGCTCTGACGGTGACTCAGACAACTCAGTTGATCAACCAAATTTGGCGTATTTCTTTATTACCTGCCGCACCCAAATTACAGCAGTCATTGTTTGAGCTCGCTTGTTCTGCAATGGATGAACAAAAAGTTACAGCTTAATTTAATGAATTCAGTTTTAGGAAGCAGCTGAGATGAGGCAGTCAGGGACGATTAGCTCTTGACTCCTCTCACCAATGTGGCCTGGGTTCGAGTCTCAGCGTATACTCAGCGTATACTCAGTCATATTCAGCGTATACTCAGTCATATACTCAGAGTTGAGTGTGTTGAGGGTTCTCTTCATTGCTCGGTCGAGAGGTATTTCTTACTGGTATTCCTGTTTTCCCCTCTCCACCAAAAGCATTGCCCCATGAGGGAATCCAGGACAGTCTTGGATTCTGGATTTCACGCTGTGGATTCCGGATTGTACTGGATTCCAGTATTTGTCGGTAGAACTTGGATTCTTCATTCCAATCCGATCTTTGTTTGTGGGATTCTGCATTCCTTGAGCGTATTCCGGATTCCAGAAGTAAAATTTTCCCAGATTCCGGAGTCTGGATTCCTTTACACGGGGCGTAAAAGCAACATTTCCAATTCCAATTCGATCTGATCTGGAAGGTGTCTCAAGTTTGTTGGAGACCTGGTTTGTGGAACTTTCATGGTGTTAACGGCTCTATAAATAACGTTAGCTTGGTTAGAGACAATGCTCAGTGGCCCAAGTTTCGATCGGATGTCATTTGGCTCTCGGGATAATTTGGATGGATTGAATCCTTGACGAACTCTAAATTGTGGACCGTATTGGTAAACATCAATGGCTAATGAGGCTCTACAAGTACAGAATGGCAAACCCTCAATGACCTCAATCAGTTGATATCAGTGATAGCTTTTGAACCACTTACCACATCTATGATCTGGTTCAACGCCAAATCCAATGTTACTGCAACACCCTTCTCTAAAGTTGTTTTGGGAAGCACACTTTTGTCGTAGGAGTGAAATAAATCGTACTCGAGCTCTTGAACGATATGAGAGCTCGGGACGCCTGAAATCAAATGTTAAACTCTGTCAGTGGACAAAAAAACAAGCAAAAAACAAACAAATATTCCTGTATGGTTACACAATCCAATCCACTGATCCAGGCCAAGGATCGGATGTTCAAACGCTACATAGCGCAATTTAACTGATAAATCACTGTCCTTTGGGAAAACCAATTGCGCTTTTCAATGAATAGATATTTCTCCAGTAGAAAGCGTTATCATGCCACTTTTTTTACAATTGAGGCTAGTTGGATAGTTAAGTAGAAGATTCAAAATCACACGTTTTTGGAATCAAAATTGTTTTAGCTAATTATGGTCACATGATTTGTCACGTGATAATCTTGTCACATGTGCAACTCTGAATTGTTTGTTCCTTAGCGATGGCGGTCGGATTAAGGGAGACTTTTTGAAAATTACTAAGAGAGTAGATCATTTCTTATTTCCTTGGTCCAGTCTATGTTTCAATAGCCATTCAGATTACGAGATTAATTGTGCAAGAGAGGGTTTAGCCTCAGGGTACTCTATCAGGTTGATTCGCGATCAAGAACTTTAAGATGTCCCTAAATGTTTGGCGTGAACGCATAAGTTAATCTAAGAACGCACTCAGCTTTTAATAATTGGGAGTAAAAGGGAAAAAAAGTTAAATTCACATGCAAATAGACGGAGATTTACAAGTCGGGTGATAAAAACGCGTGCAACCCTTATCTAATAAATACTAAATGAAAAATGGGCAAAAAATTGATAGTTTTCTCATGCTTATCTCAGTTCAGACTCACGATTAAATTTCCGTCATCTAACTGTCAGTATAGTTAAGGGAAGAATATTGAATACTACTTAAATTAATCATTGCACTTATACTGAGACGGACCATATTTTTGCCGTCATTAGATAATCCTAACCGGTCTCCGTCAAAGGTCTAATAGGTGATTCATCAAGTGACCGTATGTTTTTACTATGTTTGGGTTTTTTGGCGATGCAAAACAATTTTATTTCAAAGGCTTAGAAAGTCTCTGATGAATACTTACATTAGCTAATTTTATTTTGACTCGCGGTAGAAGTGAAGAATTTTTTGTCGCACAGACAGATATTTGATAATAAGCTTGTATTGATATTTAAAACGGTGCAATTCAATCTGAATATATTTTTAAAACACGAATCGAACGCGTAAACTGCGAATTTGCCTGGAAGATGCTTTAAGCCAACAATTTAATCCCAGTGCGACATTACTTTTAGGGTCAATTCTAATTTCAGTAGCAGGTTCATAAAAGTTTGACATGACACTAAACTCGGAACACAAAACCAACTGAAAAATCCTTACCTTCACTTGAATTTAAGAAAAGAGTCAGCAAGAATAACATCATTCTTATTAGATCGCAGAGAAGTGCAGGCATGTAACTTGCCATTTCTGTCAATAGAATCCGACATTTAAAATAAATAACATACTAAGCCTTCGCAACCTGGTCCGAACGATTGCGGGTAAACGACAGGGTTAGTAACAGAAATCTCGGGATGTCTTTTACTGATAATCTAATAGCGCTGCGTGGGGAGTGTATGCGCGAATACTCTGCACTGATATCATTGGCTGACACGCTTACAGGTGGCTGGGAGAGTTTTGGCTTGTCTAATCATCACAGGCCCGGAATTTCATAAAAAAAACACACAGCTGAGTGATAAATTTTCAATAACTTCGCAGTCTCTCGTTATTTGGTCGCAGTGATTCATTTTCACGAGAGAACTTCTTTGTCGGCTTTTTTAAAATTTTTTGTGAGCCGCCAAGCGAGAAGCCATAATTATTTTATTGATTAGGTAATCTGCCTAATTTTCCCTTCTATATATACGGAAGACGAATCAGCCACTAAATCAACTCTGTTCAAGTTTCATCAAAGATGTGTTTGGTAGTTTCGGTAAACTGTGAATGAACTTAGTTAGGTACTTACTTTGCAGAAGATGAAACTGGGTTGAAATTTTATACAGCATGCTGAGAAACCCAATTAACGCACAACAAGAAAACGATTCTGAAAATGCCGAAAAATTTAGATCAGTCAGAACTCTAATAGTAATGTTAAATCATCGTTTTGCATGCACTCTGTGTGTTCAAACAACAAAAAAATGTTCACTTGAACGACGTTTTCATCTTTTTTTTTACCATTTTTTGTTGTGTTATGGTGAAAGTGGTAAATTTTATTTAAACCTGCTGTTGCTAGAATCAAAACAAGATGCCCCACAGTGTGAAATAAATATGAGGAGAAAATAAATGGAAAACTTGTTCAGTCGGGGAACGTTAATTTTTCAAGCATTATTGGAATCACTTGTTTCAAACATTTCAATAAGAAAACCGCGTGAATGGTATCAGCCATATAAAGTATATATGGAAATGTAAAGCAATATATTTTACCGTTCGTGCTATTCGAAAGCGATTTGTTTTATAGGGTGAATTGAGGCTGAAGGTTTGAAGAGGGGGAAGCTGGCCAATATACACTAAATGCTCAAGTATCACTTCTTAGACGTAAAAAAATATATTTTTTTTAGCGTCACGTGACATCACGACAGTGGCTTAATAAGCTGTAACGTAGGCCAAAGAATGAATTTCGAAATGCGTTTTAGCCACCGGCCATCCATGTATTTTAACTATTAATAATGTCAAATTCTTCTTGTTCTCGAGTTCTTAGAAAATGTAAATGCCATAGCACTATGGAATTACTTTCCAGCCGCGTATGTTGGTGGGAACTGAATTTTATAACTAACATCCAGGAAACGACTTTGAACGATATCCACACCACAATTTCACTAGCTTACCAGTTAAGGTTTTTAATGACCAGATATGCCTGTTAGTTATTTTATATCCTTTTGAATTTCCCCTTTCAAAATGAACAGTGTACCATTTTTATCGCAAGACGGAGCATGGGTACTAGAAATCGAGGGGGGCGGTGGCCGCCAGAGTGAACGAAACAACCATTTTTCTTTGTGTAAGTATAAAGCGCTCTCAAGAATGGTATTGACGCCATGATTCATTTTTTCCGCCATTAAGCCTAAAAAGTGTCAAATTTAGTCTGAAATTAATTGAAATAAACAGGAAAATTCTTGAAGGATGATCATTTATAAAGCACAAAGCAGGGGAGTTAGTTTGTGTTTCCGATTGACCATAACGTTCACTTCATCAACATTCAATTAAAGCAAATCGCTTTCTTTAATATTTATCTTTATTTACCTTTCATAATAATATTTAATTTTATTTATGGTATATTCGGTATAACTTTTCCTATACGTCTTACACTATTTTACATCAGTTTTTGATCAAACGGTTTGTAATTAAGTCTGATTTTTCGACGCACGACTGGATGAATCAGTGAGTATAATTACAATTAACAGTTGCTGTTTATAACGCCTTTCCTTTTTAACTCCTTTACCCCAGGTTCAATGGATAAAAGGAGAACAGCTCTAACTTTTGACTGTTAGTTTGTGGATGGATTCCTACGGTGCGACGATTCATGAATTGATTTAAATCTCTTTAGCAGCAGCACTACTTTCACCGTACGGAGTTTGAACTATTGAGTCTGCAGAGGAAATCTTATGATGTAACATTCATATGAAATCTCTTTAGTAGTACTTTCGTATCACGTTATTTGTTCCTTTGGTATTTGCAAAAACGTGCAACTCTTCGCGAAGCACCTATAGGAGTAAAAGCTTTGAACAAATTTAGGCAACAGGTCTGAAACTGGGATCAGAAATGACAAAAATACTGGCCATACTGGGAAGTTCACCGTCTTCACTCTACAAACTTGACATAGTAAGACCTAGAAATCTGCTGCTGTGAATATCCTAAACTTTGCAACGTCTGTTGCCTTTGAATTCAGCATTGAAGCACGTTAATTTGATGGAAGCACCAGAATAAGAATGCTTGAACGCAATCAAAGACCCTCTTATTTGATCTCTACCATTTATATTATACCAATTAATCTCAGTAGAGACAATATTACAACGGCCATATACGTTCCTCTTGTTTTACATTGTTAATTCGTCAGATGATATAATCATATAATGAGTAATGTGTATGTAAGTTTACACGGTCGATTTGAAGGTTTTCCAGTTGGTCTTCTAATTATTATCAGTTTTGTTACCTTTTCACTTATATGTTATATTAACATTTTACATCTTACATCAACTGAAAACGCTCCATGTTTATTTTGGACTTCTCAGTAATTTTGCAATGTCACACTCTTATAGCCCCATACTTCATGTTTACAGTTCATATGCATAAGCAATCAGTTACACACAAGGGATGCCACTTCACAGGCACTTTTCTAGTAAACAAAAGAACCGACTATATAATTATATTACGAAACAACGAATTTTAGTCATTTTATGCACAGATCGAAATTTTGAACAGAAATCGCTTAGTCGAGCTCTATCTTTTAGAAGGGGATCTTATACCTTTCCACTCCTGTAGGAGATCCGCAATTGACTTAAAACTTGAAGTTGTTGAACGTAACGTACTTTTAAATAGACTGCAAAACATTCGTATTTTTGCGTATTCAAGTACGCGTGAGCTGTCAAACGAAGGATCTGGAACGAAGCTGAAAACAGAGAGCGAGACTGGGGAGAGAGTCGGGTTTTTTTCTCTCGCTCGCGCGCTTCGCGCTTAAGACTCTTACGCAAAGCTTAACCGATTTCTTTACTGATTTTGAGAAAAAAACCGACTGTTTTGCAGTCTAACTTTTAAACGACATTAATAACAACAGAACGAAAGACAGCCTTGTCTGACCGACACCACCAGTCTCATGGCCGACGAGGGTGGGTCCATATACGTACACACGAAGTGAATTCAGTCGAGGTTTTCTCTTGGAGCCGAGAATAACACTACTAGACAGTTAAACACAACTAAGATCAGAACAATCCACATGAACAATCGATTCAGCACCTGAGCAGCAAAACGCCATTCTTGCTGAAAGTGCTCCTTCTCTTCATCTTTCTTAGTCCTTTGCACAAGAATATCCAGAGCCTCTGACTGTTTGGAGGCTTGACTAAGTCGTTTTCGAAGGTTCATGTTTTGATCACCCAAGGTTTGTAATTGAATGGGTGTGTTTGAATCCGTTACAAGCTGATGTGTACCGTTAGCATGATTTTTGTCACTGACAAATGGGTTAGTAGTAACTGGCTCTGTGCTATCGCCATTATAAAGACGCTCGCCCAGTGAATGTCTTCTCATGTTACGATTTTTGAGAAATTTCTTTGCCGAAGTGCAAGATTCGTTGGTTTTCTTGCCGTTTCTCTTTACACGTAAGACGTTTGCACACCACTGGCAGATGAACAGTCGTACCCAGGCCGGTAGCGGTGTTGGAGAGTGGTGATGAAATGTGAGAACGACGCAAGTAAAAACAATGGACACAAAAACATTCACCATCGTCAAGGTATAATATCGGGAGATCAACGGCACAACTTCGGAAGTGGCTGGAAGTTCTTCGGCTAGTAATAAAAGAATAACAGTTAACGATAGTAATACAGTTACACCCACATTCATTCTTTCTCCAGACTCAACTGGGAGAAAGAAACCGAGGATTGTTAATGCTGACATGAGTACGCACGGAGTCAAAAAGTTTAAGATATAATACATGGTACGACGACGAATGACGATATTGTAAGTTATAAATGGATAGGGCTCAGGACAGCAGCGGTACTTGGTAATGAATTTTGTAACAGGCATCCCAACCAGTATCCATTCGCCATTATCAGTGAATGATGCAGTATCTCCAGGACCTTTGTGAAATATATCCAGACTCAAGCCATGATAGGACCATGACCCAAACTTCAGAATGCATTTCTGGAAAGAGAAGCAAGTTAATTAATGGATTTTGCTGCACTTTGCACAAAACCAAAAAAAAGGAAGTGACTCTTTTTCTTTAGTGAAAGTGCCTAATTTCACGTTTTGTTGAGGACGTGAACTAGACTACGAGTTTTCCCCCATTTGTCCTCAGGGATAGTTGAGCGAGCGAAAGGCGAGCGCGCGTGAAAATCACCCCACGCGAGAAAAGGCCCACCGCGTCTCGCCTTTCTCGTGTGGGGGGATTTGCACGCGCGCTTGCGTTTCGCTCGCTCTAATATCCCTGAGGAAAAATGGGAGACAACTCGCAGTCTAGACGTGAACATAAGGCAATGACTTTCTTTTTCTTTTTATACAGTCTTTTAGAATTCAACTCCAGAAAAATGTGCCAACATTTGATGAATTGAACGAGTTGGAATAAGCCCGATAAAGTTTGAAGTAGCCCGACCTTACTTTTTGAATGAAATGATATTTCAAACATTTTCCCCTACCTGATCATCAAACGGAAAATAGGTGACGTCAATGGTACATGAACTCTTGAATATTGTGGGGTAGAACCATCCTACATCACCATTAGAACTTACGGTAAGCCCATAATATTCTTCTTTCTCTTTGTCGTAATTGTCATTAGCACTGTTAATAAAAATAAAAAGAAGAATTTTTGCTTCTTTCGGGAAAGCACTTTCATTGCTGTTACATTAAGCAGACTTAGCAGAGCTGGGTAACCTGGTATTAGACTGAGGTAAGCCTTGATTCGTGTTACTTTGTGTCCTCCAACCTTTCCTGGTAAGTCAGTTGTGCCAAACAAAATTTTTGGCTTTACGGCTCACGGTAGTCACGAAGTCTTTTAATTTGCATATTTTTGCCTAATGGCCCAAAAAGCAGCAAGACTGTATGTTTTTCTTAGCTATTGTGGGGCTGATCTTTTAAGCAAGTCACTGGTTGAGCCCTAGGCAATGTAGGAATCGAAAGTGGGAAGATGGCCAAGATAATTTAAACTGTTGATTTCTCCTTCATGTTTTTATACGGGAGATAGTGAATTCTCTTCACATAGTTTGAGGTACTAAACCCACTCAGCGTTAATTTGGCAAACACATCTTTGATTTTGCTAAGCAGGGCACGTTCTGAAGCTGGTAAACTTCTGCTAAGTCGTCGTTGATTCTCAGGTAACTACAAAGTAGTTTCGCGGTATTTTTAAAAGAACTGAATTTGTCTAATGAAACTAAATTAAATTAAGACTCTTACTACATGGAAAAAACCAGCCGAAAATCACTGTTAGCGTAATTGGATAAATTTTGCATACAAAAAAAAATAACCAGGAACAAAAACTTGTATGCCTTACTTGTTGTACAAAGTAATGTCTGGAAGCCAAAGTTTCTTTGAAGATGTCACGAACGACTGTATTGATCCATAATTAGAGCTATTCCATTGTAATCTAAAATCATTCCAATACTGTAAAAACAGGAAGAGGTAAAGAAAAATGTTTAAAGGATGCGTAATAATGAAATCAATAATGTATTACATGGACAGAAAATATTTTCTCTTGACTTTACGAGAGAAAATTTATTTTCTGTGAAAATTAATCAAAAATGAAGGAGTCAAGCAATAAGTTCGATAAAATTAAGAAGTGTAATTAGCCATAACGTCAAAGATGAGAAACTGAAGACACAACAATTAGTAGGGTCATTTATACGAGGAAAAATAAGACGCGTCTTAACTAAAACGCGAACTTTCCGTATAAACGGCACATTTCGTCTAAAATAAGACGCGGATTAGCTAAGACGCGTCTTATTTTAGAACAGCCCTTAACACCTGTTCTTAGATAAGACGCGTCTTAGCTAAAACGAGAAAAACTTCGTATAAATGACCTTCACGTCTTACATAAGACGCGAACGCATAGTACGCATGCGTAAATTTTTGGCGCGCCACGTTGGATTGCCGTTGCTACGGGCAACATTCACATGAAAACGAGTCAAGAACAGAAATAAGACGCGAACCATTTATACGAGCTGTTCTTGTCTTAGATAAGACATGCTCGTATAAATGGTACAGTTCGCGTCTTATTTAAGACGCGTCTTATGTAAGACGCGTCTTATTTTTCCTCGTATACACGGCCCTATTGATACAGATCCATAGCCGCTTTTCCTGGATAAAAACACAAGTAATTACATTCTGCGGTTTTCAATTTTAAGCCCCTTGGATATATAAGTACGCATCTCTTACGCCCACTATGTGAAGAACACGCCAAAAAGGGACTGGGGATACTCTTGGAAACTCAGTGAAACCGGTGGGGTGTGTCAGTACCCTGTTTCTTTGAACACTTAACCGTAATAACACTTCAGATGTGCTCGCACTTCTTGACACCCAAGCGAGCCCTCTTTCACAAAACATAGTCAAAATGCATATATTAGAGCAGGGCCAGGAGGGAACGTATATCCTCTGTCCCCGAAATGACTATATGGCTGTAATATAAGGGAGTACTGTCCAATATGGTAGCCATGGATACTCACAAGCCTCACCCACACAATGGTCGTCATAGTTTGCAGTCTCTCATCCTACAAAAAGAAAGCATTCAAGGTTAAGAGAACATGGCAATCTTTTTCCGAATCTCACAAGAAAGCTCTTCTTCATTTAATCTTTTCAGAAAGAAAATGTCTAGACAGAGAGTAGCAAAAGCTATGATATTACATCACGTATAACATGTAATCTAATTTATAAAAAGCAGATATCGTTGTGATGCCAATACACATGCAAAATAGAAAAATCTAGACTCGACCCTTTTAGATAAAACTGTTTTTAAGCAATCTATCCGCCTTGAAAAACATCGATAACAATTCGGCTTTACCCCGCAAACAATGAATATTAGGGAGATTAATTAAGCAACGTTGACGGCGACGGCAACGAGAACGCAGAGAAAAGCAATCGGCTTAGATTCACAAAACAACAACTTTGCACGTACATCTGATCATCACGCTTTTTTGTACATTTCTTTGCCGTCATTGCACGAACACGACGTGAGACTTCCCTATTTTCACGTTTTATGTACTCAACGTGAACTGAGGACAACGACTTTTCATTTTCTTTTTCTAAAGTCAGAAACAGACCTTAAGAATTTAACTCCAGAGAAATTCGTCATCATGTGACAAATTGAACGTTTGAAAAAAAAGCAAATTCTTTTTTTGAGTGACGTTGTCGCAGTCGTGGCCGTCGTTTTTGCTTAAGCTCTCTATTGAAAAACTACAAACGCACAATAACAATTAATGGAAATTTACAACTAAAAATTAAAAATAACTGTGCCGAACACCCAGCACAGTTTGCGTAGACTGCGCGGAACAGTTCCCTCTTTTCTTTAAGGTTGTGTTTCTTAATAACAAGAGAGGTTATCATAATACATGATCAGTTGATCAGGAAAACTTTGGCGATGTAAGCTTGAAATTTTGGAGTTAAACTTGATGAATACAGAGTATTCGTTAAATTTCTTTGTCGGGTCAAAAAAAAAGAGAATTAAAAACACACAGCTTTTAATTCTATTTGGACGCATCTAGGACAGAGAACTCATAATAAAAAAATTATACTCAGCAATCTGAACCACTGATGAATGTGTAAAATTTAGTACGTTTATGCGATGTTTTTACGATTTTAATTCTTCGCATAACAAAAACTGAAAACCTGTCAAATTACTGCCTGGTGGATCTAGTTCGACTTTTAAATATTTGTAATTTAAAAAGTTCATTGAATCCATCTTTTAGAATTTTTAACTGAACGGCATAACAACTGCAATTAAATGATACAATGACACAGAAAAGAAGGTACAACCAAGTTAAACTGGGCCTGTGAATTTGTCACTAGAAAGCTGCCTTCATGATCAGTGAGGTTTACGTGTCGAAAATGGGTTTCATAACTAAATTAATACGAAGAGATACTTAGGATTAAAGAAATGAATCTCGAAAGTGAGTCGGCTATGAGTCAGTCAGCTTGACTGTTTTGGCTCAGTACAGCTGTTTGTCCAAAACAAAGATATTAATATTACATATCTGGATATTCGTAATCACTTTCCTTGTCTACCTCTGCAGGATAAGATAAAACAGCCTCGTTTAACACCAACAAAAGAATGTTTGATAAAAAATAAAAAAAAAAAAAGAATTTAGGCCTAGCTGATAATTCATTAGATCGATCCTACGATCATATTCTTAAAACAATGAGCTGTCATAGATTTCGTAATCCGTTATTGGAACTTTAAAAAACTATAATAATAATAATAATAATAATAATGTGAAAAACAGTAGTTACATAGGCAACTACTGGAGCCTTTGTTACTTTTCGCTTGCAGATTGATAGACTACTAAATTTTCAATCCAATAAAATCGAGCTTCTAATCCCTTGAATCCGGGAAGAATAATTTTTATAAAGTATACCACTAGGTAAATATCAGCGTATTCTTTTAAATTCTTCAAGTTCATTTAATACAACAATATACGTATTTGCTTAAGATATCTAAAATCAAAATTATGTTTTGGCCGATTCGAAAATCTGCGAGCATTTAGATTTTAAATCAACCTTTATTCGTTTTCACTGGGAAAGAGATTGTTATTAATTCAAATGGCTGAACGTCAATCTCATTTGTTGTTTACAACAACAACCAGTGTTTGATGCAGATTCCTGAGGAGATCTGTTGTAGTGGACATTGTGTCCTATTCTTTTTTAAAGAAACGTTTTAAGGACATTTTCAGACTAAAATTCTCTAAACAAAACCATTTCGCTATTTTCAACGCCAAAAAGACATTCAGCCTCTTTCCACTCTCTTAAGACAGACTCTCGGTTTTTCTTTTTCGATTTACTGATTTGAACTCTGGCCTCGCGGCAAAGACAAGATCTGTTCCAGTAAAATCCACAGCCCCAATTCCCAGCAGGGTCAATTATCCTGCTATCGTAAAAGAGCTCTAGGACTAACAACAACTATATATTATTCATGCTCTTACGGGCCGCAACAATAAAATTGTAAAACTCGGGAAAAATGAAGCAAAACAGACAGTTTGTTCCTTTTTGCTGCCATCAATTTCTTTTTTGTTATGTTTCAATTTTTGAAATAGCAGAAATTTGGCTGCTTCGATAAAGCATACGCGTATCCCTTTTTATAGTCTTTTGAGCTTAGATATCTAATTTAATTAATTCCCATAAACTCAGTGACGAATACAACATAGTATAGTCCTGTTACAAGGATCGCTTTGGGGAAACCAAAATAGCCCGTCTTTGTCATTTTATTTCGTTTTACATACAATCCGAGATATCATGATCTTGAAGCTGAAAAAGACTGGACTGAAAGATACTCCAAAAAGTATAAGTCACTTGAGAATTAAATCCCATCGAGTAGGCGTTTAAACCTGCGTGAATTACGTTAGGTAATTAAGACGCGCCGAGACACTTACCAAATCAATTATTTGATTGAGGGCTATGTCGAACTGAACTTTGACTGCAATAGTTTTATTTTTCTGAGGGATGATATTGGTACTGTAATTTGTGAACAGGTCCTTCTGTAGCTGCTCCAAGTCTTCGTAGAATTGTTTATTCGCAGCTGCCAAAAAAACGTAGTTTCCCTAGTGATTCATCAATTCATCGGCGTATAAAAATACCAGTCGTATGTTATAAAAAATTAAAAAAGGGACATATGTGGAAAAACTGAGTTAGGTCATCCTCTATGTTAAACTTTAGGACACTTTTTTTTTATTCAAATATTCTGAGATTGATTTAGCCACACAGAGGAAAAGGCTGAACTGATTGGAATAAAAAACGTAATGATTTTTTTATATCTCAACAGTTATAATTAAAGCCAACCAGTCTTTATCAGCCAATTTAAAACCAAAAATTTTTGCACTCATTTTTGGTATGCTTTACTTAAAAACCCTAAAATAAGAAAATGGAAAGAATAAAGTTAAGTTTCAATTTGAAGCGATCTATTCGCTACGAAAATTACGGCCATATCCTGGGCAGTGACGCTCAAAACATTTAACGTAACAGATATGTAAATGTTAAATATAACAAACATGCAACTAATTTTGAAACTCAATCACCACATCAAACTGAAACATGATAAAGCAAAAAGTTACGAAAAATCCTACAAGGCAACTTACCTATTGAATTAAAATAAAACAGCAGGCAAATTAGAAGTTTTCCCATGGACGTGACTAGCATTCTTGATAAACCAAGACCTGAATACAAACGATAAGTTCACAACAAGCGGTGGAAACTCACTTTTCGTCAGCTGCGGGGAACATTAACAAGCGCAAAACAGGGCGAGTTCTCTGGGAATTCAGTCAATAATGAATTCTTATTTACACTGTTCAAAGCGTTCAGATGATATATCGAATCGCTAAATTAAAAAAACAACGGTACCAAATGTATCGATGTTGCTTTTTGGTAATAAGTTTCCCGCTCGAATTTTGGTGTATTGTGGTCGGTGGGCAGACAGGCCTTACAATTAATTAATAATAGGATGGAAATTAACGAGCTAATCTAGCTTTCTGATTTAGTGAATTTTGTAAACAAAGTCTTCAATTTCGGCCTTACAAACCCCATGGATTTAGAAATAAAGTAAGTCTGATACTTTTAGCAATTCCCATACAATTGAAATTTAATAAGAACCGACTGGAATAGATAGTATCAGTTTAATGTAGGCCTTCACAATTATAAACGCTTTGCAAAAATTCACGAAGTACAAATTAGACTTTTGGGAATTTTTGATTGATTCATATTTTTATTGGATCCATTTTCTTTCTTTCGGGGTAGATTGCCTCAAGAACGAACTATAGTAACCAGGGAAATTTTTATAAATCTAAACCGAAAGCAAAGCAGAGAAAATGATCTGATTTTTTGGCAGTCTATATCGTAATTACCATCAACAAATTTAAAAAGCCGACTTCCATTAAGACTTCTTTCATTTTGCCTCCGCATTATAATTAAGGCGATTAAGTTATTACACTCAAATGAAGCGAAATACTAATTTCACCCATTTTTCTTTAACCTGTTTCTTTTTAAATATCGTTTTAACGGAGAGGAATTTTTTTTTTAATCATTTTTAGTATACCCAAGTAGGAAAATTACCGAAATCTTGAAATTGTTTATTCATTTTCTAACTGAATGGCCATTTAAGTCCAGAACACAAACGTCCATGCGTCTTGCTGAAAATTAACTAAAAAGTATGTCTTGTGCGTTAGCCCGGTCAGTCAGAACTTCTTTTTGCATGCTGGAGAGAGGGTGGTTCGAAGGAAAATTTCTCAAGCCTTTAATAAAGTCAATGATTGGACTGATATAGGATCTGATTTGGAATCTGAAGCGAACGGTATATTTATGAATTGTGTTCATTTTCATGATTGTAATGATTATGATCCAGTCCACATCTTGACACATCACTGAGCCCATGTGGACAGAAGTTCTATATTTCTTCAGATTTGGTTATTCCCTATTCTTTGAAACTGAATTTACCTTATACTCGTACAAAGGATTCCAGTGCGGATAAAAAGATTACTTAACCTTAGTCTTGAAAATCTGCAGGTGGGATACAATACCGTAAAATTCCGAAAATAAGCCCCGGGGCTTATATTTTTCAAACGCCCTTTTTGAGGGGCTTATGTTTGGAGGGGCTTATATACGTAGGGAAGTTTGCACGACGGTTTCAAAATCGGCTAGGCTCGGGAAATTTGCGTCTTAAAATTTACGTCAGTAATTTGCAGAACGTTTTGACTGAAACTTGCCTTGAGGACAAAGACCTTTCTAAAACGTAGCCATGCAAGTACTTTGTCTATGTGAACCGAGGAAATCAAAGCCAAGAGTGAAGAGGAACCACGCAAAGAGCAATTAACTGTGACACTTTCTGACTACAAACACTTGGCAGACACGAAATAGTTCTTTGCAAATACAAAAAGTTATGTTACTGTACCGTTTTTGCTTTGTTTTATTTTGTATTTGAGGGCACTCTTCAAGTACAAGTCCCCGGGGGCTCATATTCAGAGGGGCCTATACATGGAGGGGCTATTTTTGGAATTTTACGGTACGTTACTATCCCGTCCATTGCCCTGCAAACTTGCGTGGCCTGCATTCTTTTAGGTCATTACAACTCTGGTAGTTATTCTTAGAATGACAAAGCTATTTGCGGCTTTTACCTTCCCCATAATGCAATTTGTTTTCCCCAAAAAGACTGGTATAAGTTTTGTTTTGAATTTCTCAAGGGAGATCCTAAGTTTCAAGAGAAATTGGAAACAATGCAAATACAAATTTTTATGGGGAATTGCATAAAATCGCATCATGGGGAACCTGAAAGTTGCAAATGTCATGGATACAGTGTACCATGTATGTGACGCATCAGGAAAGTCCAATCTTATGTTGTCACGTGACTTTATAACGATAAATGACGTGATCTCCTTTAAATGTACATGTTTATAGAAAAAACGTTTCCCGTAGTAGGAATGTCAGAACCTATTGTCTAGCCAATAATAACAGAACTGTATCAGACGTAGCGTGTTTAGACCAATCAAAAACAACTCCTGATTCCGGTTTTTTGACAATTTAAGTGGTAAATAAATGTCTCATGCTCTCCTTCCCTCAAAGAAATGTAGGTATATAGGGAGGGCACGATCACGGACTAATTAGTTTGCGGCCGACAAAATAGAATACTTTTGCATGCATCGCGTGCCTCTTTTTATTATTGGATTAAGGCACCCTTGAACAACCTTTTCAGGCTCACAAGCTGTAACTACACCATTAGTAATCAAAGATTGAAGTGCATCGCCTTAGGATTGGGCGCGTGCCTAGCTGGGTTGCAACCAATCCGTAAGCACTACCTTAAAAGCACTACGCAGATCTGGGTAGTGACGCGTCATCAGTATGGAATTTCTGCTCTCGTTTCTCAGACGTCATTTCGCGGGAAAACCGTTGGTGGCGTCGCGAAATAGGCTGATTTAGCGACAGAACGGGAAGTCAGTTGATAGCCTGATTTAGCGACAGAAACGTCTGGAAGAAATCAGAAGATTTTGACGAAATTATCGGGATTGGCAAAGTCCAGTAGGATTCCGCGCATGATGTGGAACAGAATAAAAAGATTCATAATGCGTATTTTTATCCTCCCCGTTATGTTCTTTCTTCCGGCACTTTTTGTTGAATACTTACAATATAACAACATTTTTCCTCGATACTTCCGGTGCTCAATTTGCCTTATTGCTCTGCCATTTGGTCAATTGTCGACGTCCTTCTACGGATCCGCAACCTTCCATTACAAATGTTAATTCACTTTCGGACAATTATCTTGTTCCTACTAATATCGATATTGTTCGTCGTCGTCAACTGACGTTCCTTTTCTGTTGTTCTACTAAATCATTCCATTAGTGATCATTTTGCTTTTAATTGAATCTAAAGAGTAATCCCAGATAAATATATATACAACTGCAAAATTTGGTAAAATTTTCTTTTGTGAGAAAATGTTAGATTCTTTGTCGAGTAGCTGGTACAGATAATTACTGATGGATGTCCATAAAAAATACCGAAAACGCTAAATCATGGCCTCCATTTTTTGGCAGAAGTTTTTAACTCGAGCATTCCAAAGATCATAACTTTTTTCGCACATGATAGCTCAGTTTAAAATTCCTAAAAATCCTGAGAGCAGATTTTATAGTTTTGTCCTATCTTGTTATTCTCACATATACTAGTTTTGAGCTGTTCAATGTGAATACTTTTTCAAATGGTCATCAAGTAAATGATAGCCGCGAATTTTGAAGAGAGAAAGAAATCCTTTTACTGTTTTCAAATGTAATAGTTTTGTGTTAAAATGTCCTAAAAAGTCAACTAAGAATGAAAACTGAACAGAAACATCGAAGTTTCCTCATTTCTTCTATCAGTAGTTTAACTGTGTCTTGTCCTTCTCTATTTATTTTGTAAAGCTAGTGAACTTAAATGAACGGAGGAAAATAATAAAAAAAAAGAACATACAAAAATATCATCTTTCAGTCCAAGAAAGGCCGATATCCTCTCATGCTTTTAATAAATAGAAACCTAATAGACCTTAAACATATCCGGCAAAAAATTAAAATTATGGATGTACTTACAAAACTAGAGCTTGAACAGATTCGTATGAAAAACTATAAGCTGTATTGTACTGAGCCTGCTGCAGGCGACTGACCTGCACCCATCCAAACTCTTATTTCATCGGTCCTTATAACCTGCACTACCTATTGTTTTCAGGAATAGGGGCATTACTATGACACCATCCCTATTGTTTTCCCAGCCAATCAAAAATCTTGTTTGGAATAGGTGCAGGCCGGCCTGATGCAGGAGAAGCTTAAGATAATAAATGACTACGAACAGAGTCCGTAATTGTCTGTTTTAGCCAGCCCGGCAGTGAGTTATAGAAACGTTTACCCTGAAGAGGGCTACTGCCAGAAGATTGTTCACGGTATCATAATGAAATGAATAATAGGCAAGGGTCTGAATGGTTCTTTGTTATTAGGCACAAAATCAAATTATAACATAGCTAGAAAATTCGCCTAATCAAATTCAATAGCGCGAGCGTCTGAATGGTTGACGTTAAACTATT